AAGGATTCAAATTGAATGTGACTATAATGTCCCCCTCACCCGGGACCTATAAACAAGTTTGGAGCATTTATTATCTAAACTGGCTGATTTGCAATTTTCATTTGAAATAAAAAGATTCTATTGAAACGGGCCCGGAATTCGTAATTCCGCACTCTCACCATGGCATTGAAGACACATTATAGCATATCCTAAAAAATCGCCTCGTCAAGCCATAAAATAAATCCTTTTAAATCTTCCTAATACTCACGCCGTCTTCTTGTTAATTAAATTCAAAAAATAATTCTAATATCGCGAAATCGGGCTTGCGCAAGAAATGAAATTCATTTGACCATAAAACCTTGGATATAAGTAGCACCCTACATCTAAACCGAGGAAACCGGAAAGAAACCTATTTGATTAAAGGACATTTTTTAATTCCGAAGCTTATAATGTAATACTGCTGACAAGCAAACATCAAGTAGAGGTCTAAAGTTAGAGTCCCGAAGGAATAGTACGAGTAGAATGAAACTGGAATATTATCATTGCCATCGTTATGTAAAAATAAACAAAAATATAAATAAAATGTTTGAAAGGATTGCTCATATAACAACATAGAAAATAACGTTTTCTATAGAGTTAATTGCTCCCTCTTGAGCAAAATTTATTAGAAAAACTCGATCTCTGTCAAGAAAATTTGCTTAATGAGCATTCTTTTCGATAGTCTTCAAATAAGTGAGCTACAAACCACAAACATTCAACAGTGACAAAATAGTACATGTTCATAAAAAATTCAAAGAAAAAACAAAGTTCAAAAATAAATATACCACGATAATGCATATCTTTTCTTACACAGTGTAAAAGGTTTCATAAATTAATTTAAAAATTGTAATAATGCGACAACAGTGAGTAATAAAATTAGCAAATCATTGTCCATAAATAAACAAAAAGCGACACGCACAGGCAAACCTTTGAAAAAAAAGATGGAATGATCATAGGTAGTATGGTGATTGTTTCATACACACAATGATTCCGTTTTCATCAAGATTTCAACAGCGCAGTTCAAGGAATTTTCTTTCTACAATTATTCATCAAAAAATGTCGGTAACAAAATCATGAGTATTTTGTATCTTAATAGTTAAGCCAAATGTTTCACTTCTTCACTTCGTTTGTCAAAATCTGGAACAATTCCTTATCAGCCAAACAACCGTCTACAAATTCTTTTAGCGTCAATTCCTGAAATCACATTTAATTTCTACATCAGTAAAAGCTAAACATAAGTATTAATCTTACCTGCTTTGACATAATCGGAAACGAAAGCCAAGAATGAGGTATGATCTATCATATTGTTCGAATTTTAAAAATTAGTTTGAAAAATAAAACTGAAGCCAACTTCCCTTTTCCACTTACATTTACATGTAAATAGAAAAATTAATTTCCAATCTCGAATCATCAACTAGTATTCATTAAACATCTTGAAGTAATACTCAACCTCATGAAGTTTCGACGGAATTTCGAACAAAATATTATTTGTTAATGATAAAAGCTGTCTACTATTATGGACTGTACCTGGAATAGAAATTACGAAGAAAAAAAGCTAAGATATATCCAAATGCACCTTCAGACATTCGTATCTACTGCAGATATCATCTTCAGAGTTCTTAATAATACTCAAGATTTAATGCTAAAATGTTACCCAAGCGCAAAACAAAACCATTCGTTATCAACTTGTTAATCGAAAATTCAGTTTTATTCTTCCAACGAAACACTTCAATATAATTTCATTCACAATCAGATATACAATTCTTGCTGAACGACAAAAGTATCACTGTGACGCAGTTCTATATCATTCTTAAAATTACTGAAGTGTTTCGAATGAGAAAAACCGCTGCGGTCCAAGGAATCACTATATACTTTTTTTTAATTTTTCCGAATTCAATTTTTTATCATTTTATAGAAAAAAGGAAGGTAAAACACCTTCTTTCCTTACCTCCCAATAATTTTTGTTATCTCAAATCTCTATGACAATCCATTCTTTCATCTATGTTTGTATCTGATTTCAGTAAAATTGTATTGATTTCAGTAAAATCGGAATTATCAAACTCCAAAACGTCATTTTTATAGAAAAATCATTCTCTATTTGACAAGCGAAACATTATGCGTCATGTATATTATCAACAGGCTATATCTTAGCCAAATAAAATGATCGAAAAGATTTGTTTCTGTACATCCGTTCTTGTGAAAGAGATAATTGAAATAGAGGATAGCGCATGAGAAGAATGAAATCATCAATGAATTTAAAAAATGAAAAAAGATGATTAGAGAAAATGGCAGAGAAAGGAAAGGAACGGTTAAAATTTGGAAAATAAACTAGCCTTATCGTTATTGACATCCATTTTCTCGAAAATCATTTTAGCCCGTTTTCGAGGTGAATCATCAGCGGATTTTGTGACTTCCGGCCCCAACATTTCGTAGATTGCCTGAAGAGATAATTTAATTGACGGACCATTGCAGATTCAATAAAACTTGAAATAAAACATGTTTAAAATATTTTCTCGTAAACTAATTGATGCACTAGCAATTTTTTAAATGTTTTACTGTAGTACAACTATCATGAAGCTAAAAGAGTAGAAGGAGGAACTGAAAAAAAAAGCACAAAAAAGTTTGATTGATCTAAACGTCACATGACACGCAGTAATTTCAACGATTTATACATAATACAAATTACATGAAAAGTGAATTCGGAACAAGTGCAAGAAACTGATAATATCAGTTGATGAAGAAAGAAAAATAAAATGAACAAATGAAAATCTTAAGGACCCGATATAATTCGTACTGTAAATAAGTTTTCGATAGAAAATTCCCTTTAGTTCCTCTGTACTTTAACCATATGGAGTACAGAGTTCTATATATTTTTAGTGAATAGTGATTGTTGCCTGAATACTTTTCTATGATTTATGACTAAAGTGGATTCCACAGAAGTCTTCGTGATTCTCTCATCGAATCTCATATAAAGACACCCTAATTTTAGTTCTAAAATAATTACTTTTAGCAGATTTTTTGCAGGAAGAAATGAATTATAATTGAAAGACAAAGAAATTTTGGAATTTTGTATAACCTATCACTTAATAAAAGAAAATATGCCTCACTGCATTCTGAACTGATAAAAATTTTAAGTTAAGATTAAAAGTGATTTAAAAAACTCGGGAGTCATCTCTTTCTTCTCAGATATACAGCACGAAGGGCAAACTGAACCAAAGTTTACCTTGTTCAAAGTGTGCGTGACAAAAAGGAATTTTAGTTGTAGCAAAACACATGAAGGGAGGAAGCGGAATCTGATACCGTATGATAAAAACTGAGAAATTTTCAAAAATCAAAACTACAAATGGTAGATTTAATGTCACTTGATTCTTATCTTAGTTATCACTAGATAAATAAAACAGGAACAAACGAACCTCTATAATTTTTATCATTTCTTTCTCATCAATGGTGCCATTACCATCAATATCATACATCCTGAATGCCCATTCAAGTTTTTGCTCTGGTGTACCCGAGCTTGTAACATTTATTGCTAATAAAAATTCCTTAAAATCGATAAAACCGCTGTTATCTGTATCAAATGTCCGAAAGACGTGCTCGCAAAATCCCTCTGCACTTCCGGATGGGAAGAAATCTTTGTAAACTTTGATAAATTGATCCTTCGTCAAATGACCTTTTGGACAATCTTGCTGAAATAATTTTCCACAAATCCATTAATGCATTCAATTTCAAGTCTTACAGAAAGCATACATATTTTAAATAACCATAAAAGCTTGTGAAGAATGACCATAGAAAAAAACTTGTTAGAGATAATAATGTTCAGCTTCTCTCATTTGAAAATATAAATGTGGCATCAATTTTCTTACTGAACATAAATACGCGATAAAATTTTAGAGAGTACATTATAATTATGAGAAATTCATACTCTTGATCATAGGAAAAAATATGCTATCAAAAAATGCTGAGTAAATAATAAAAATACACTTTCTCTAAGTGACAACCTAAAAATGAAAACACTGACCTTTCCTAATTAATTAATCATTTCAGTTGCTATCTACGATTTATCAAACCCCTTAATCACACGAATTGGAAAGCAAACAGTTAGTTTTTGCTAATCACTCTCATATACACTGAAATACTATTTAACTCAATATATTACCAAGTTGTCAATGCATAAACATCGAAGTAGTTTTTGATTCAAAAAGAAAATTTACGGTATCTAACAGGGAAGTTTCTTCTGAAAATATAAAAGAAAAAAAGTTTTATGGAAAGGTTCACATTTAATTTATCTTAATTATTAAGCATTCATTAATTTTTATATTTTCTGGGAAAATGTTGATTGAATAATTAATAACAATTTCCTAAACTCAATGACTTTACCTTCTAATATCTCCATTTGAATGCAAATTTGTTGTATTTAAATAATTTACTAATTTCAGTGAGAAAGCAATGACAATCACTTTGTTGAGAAAGCATAACAATTATATCTTCTCTTCTTCACATAATTGTAACTTTATCCATCTAAGTAAAGCCTTTATTACATAACTTAGAATCGGAAACTTCGTTTTATGTTCATAAACGATCGCGCAAGAATTAGATGTCAGCATAGTAAGGTATAGTAAAATATATTTTACATGGCCGAATTTCATGGATCAGTGCTAAAACAAGAGGAGGTTCGAAAATTGCTAGAGCATACGATCATCATTACTCACTCCTTCAGTGATCCGACTTGTCATTTGATACAAATTAAATAATACTCTGCTACAAAAAATGTAGTACAATTGCATTTTGCCTTTTGGAAGAAGGAAGAAAAAAAGAGGAACTAACCACGAAACCTTTATACCATTCCTTGATCTGTTCTTCGGTAAAGCTCGTGTTCTTTTTGAGAAAATCAAGATCTTCTTTGGAGAGTTTCGGCTTTGAGCTTTTTATACCCATTTAGTGGGAAGTGATCGGATCAGTGGAAGAACAATTAATCGATTAAATCAATCACGATAATGCGGTAAAAAATAGACAAGCGAGATCACAGTAACACCCCCAGTGCCGTTCACAGGATCTGCGAAAAGAAATACTTTATTAGCATCTACAATGGACATCATTGAAATGTAATTCGTAAACACCGTCGAGAAATTCTCAGGGGTCTGAGCTACTGGACAAAGGACTGAATGAATAAATAGTAGTTGGCTAAATTTTCATTGCTCCGCAATGTTGCATTTGATGAAACGAGCCATTAACTAATTAATGCTTTTATCTGAGAAACATTGCAGCGCAGTTGAGGTAGCATAAGGTGCTTTGAACTGATTCATTTTAATTTATCATTCATGTCCTATTACGAATGGCGTAAACTAGGAGACGTACGTAAATTGACAGAGGGAGAGAGAGGAAGAGAAAGAGGGAGAGAGAAAGAAAAGAAGATTAAAATTAATGATGATGTAGTATAGTTGTTATACATGAGGATGGAAGTGAATGAGGAAGACTTGATGAGGCGTTGCGTTCAGCCTATTGTTGTAGCTTCCTGATTTCTATTCGCAGGCAACTACATGCCTCCCATCGGGCACATACACGGATGGATCGATGGGTGACACATGGCAGTCAGTTGGAATAGGCTGGTCTAAGCCTGCTTTGAGAGGGGAGGGAAGAAGATGGCATTGCTGATTGGCTTTTTGCTTACGATGGAATGAGAGGCTAATTGCTGCACAACCATCCCATCCCATCCTCTGCTGACCTGCATGCATGTTCAGGTGTGTATCTGTCGAATTAGGAAAGATAAACAGTGCCATGCATTAGATGGACAAGAGTGATGATGGAATACTTCGTTCCTTTGAGACCATGAAAGGGAATAGGGAAGACGTTGGGAACAGGAAAACATGCTAACAAATGCTAAATGACATGGCTCTTTCACGTCCACTTCAATCTTTCTATTCTCTATTTCAGGAGTATTTCTAACATTGAAGTACTACCTCATGTCCACTTCTACACACTATTAAAGCTTTTTAGCCTAGCATCATGAAAATCATCATAGTATCAGCAATAATGAATAGCAAAAATTATAGAGAGGTCGGTTTGTGATGTGACCTTTCACTTGCTTAATGATTTTTCTACCTTCTATTTTTCTACCTTCTATTGCTTATTTTTGGTGATAGTTACTAGCTTGGAATTCGACAGTGAAAAGATACGTTGACCTTATCTTTTTCAACTGCGAATAATTCTTGGTCGAACTTTTAATGCATTACACATTGATGAATCTTACTTCTTACATCTTTACAGTTTCATTAAAAAAAATAAAAAATGCTATTATGGTGAAATATATCTAAACAAAGCGTTTTAGAGGAAATACGAATGAATGCTATATATAGAGTATTATTAAAATATGGAAAAACTAAAATGGAACTTAGGATTACTGATCAATTGTTGTTGTTTCCCTCTAACCTCTGTTGAAGGTGAATGTGGAACTATACAACATTATTCCTATTTTCATCCTCGAGAATATTTTGAAAAAATGGATTTATATACATCAGATAAGAACCAACTGTAGGGATGGGACACTAATTTTCATTCGTTAACTTATTCAACTGCCTTAGTTTGTTTTCTTTTGATTTCCTGATGTGTCTTCTGCGATTTTTATGTTTTGATGGATGTAATGATAATTAATTACTAATTGGACGTTATCTGAATCACCGATGATCAAAACAAGAAACTATTAAAGTGGAAAGTCACGATGATTTCATGCTTGTTTTTCATTTATTCACAGACTGATTTCAGCAGTAGAAATGGAATGGGAAATATGGGAAAGTTATCGAGCTGCTAAGGAAGCTGCTGTACGTCGCAAGTATGATCAGTCGGCGCTATTTTTACGTACCGCTCTTTCGCTAGTTGACTGTCGTTTGAATGGTTTATCGACCGATGATCCAAATAGAGACCAACTTGTTAAAGTAAGGAATCATCTTTTCAAGGAGGGAAGAAAGTTTGTGGATTTTCGGTAAAAGTAATTGGATACACGCATTCTCGGTAAAAGTAATTGGATGCACACGCATGTATATCACTTTTAAATGACTAATGCTGATTATGATTATGTTATCGCTATTATTTGGTACTGAATTATTGTAAACAATTCTATCAGTTTAGCAAATGTTAAAGTGTATACGATTACCACTACCTTTCGTCTTTTCTGCCTCTAGTGTGATTATTTTTAAGCGAATGCTTTATTTAACAATTGTTTCTAAGCGGATACTTTATTTAACACTCTTTCAGGTTAAATCGGTGTTGAAGTTGAATGTGGAACGAATGAATGGTATTGCGGATGTCGTTTCGCAGATGCGGCAAATGGTCGGCGTGGCAACATTGTCATCGCCCATTGACGCACCACCAAGTGATCCCGATGTTTGGCCACTACCGCCGTTAACGAAAAAAACATCTACCATTCTGAGTCCGAAAAGTACCAATAAAAAGCAGACGTCTTCCCGTGTTAATAATAAAGCGAAAAAAGGTTCAGTAGGAAAATCTATCAGTGCAGGAGGCCGCATTATTACCAAAAGAGATAACTCTTTGGGGCGTGCATCTATGAATGAACTGTCGGAAGTTACTTCGAAGGAGGAAGGCGATAATAATAGCAACGTAAGGATTCTGTCATATTCAGTATACTGATAATTTGTGATTTAATTTAATCTGTATTGATTTTCGTAAATCTCATCGATGATTTGATTTAAGAGCCGTTCGTTAATGGAAATGCTGAATACGTTTGTTTGGAGTTTGTTCTCTTAATATTTTTAGGAAAAAGGGGAAAATGAAAAAGTGTTTGACGGTAGAGGGTTCGACAAGGAATTGGTGGAAATTATTGAGCGTGATATTATGCAGAAACGTCCTGATGTTCATTGGGATGATATTGCTGGCCTCGATGAAGCAAAGAAGCTCTTGAAAGAAGCAGTCATATTACCGTCAGTTATGCCGAATTTCTTCAAGGTTTCGTTTTGTTTTTTCAGTAATACTGTCTGAGAAGAAATTCAAGTTCAAAAATCCGTTTTAGGGTATTCGACGTCCCTGGAGAGGCGTTTGTATGGTTGGTCCACCAGGAACAGGTAAAACTATGCTCGCAAAAGCTGTTGCAACGGAAAGTCAAACAACATTTTTCTGTGTGTCATCTGCTACACTGACTTCAAAATATCGTGGAGACTCAGAAAAGCTCGTACAACTTCTTTTCAAAATGGTAAAGCCTGTTGCCTTATGTCTGCAATATTGGTTGTGACCACACTGATTTTATTATTTTTTTAAATGATTTTCACTTCTAGGCGCGTTTTTATGCCCCATCAACGATATTCATTGATGAAATAGATAGTCTGTGTAGCAGAAGAGGTGCTGACAGCGAACACGAGGCGTCACGTCGAGTTAAGTCTGAGCTGTTAACACAGATGGATGGTAATATGTTGTTTTAGAAAAACATTCGTTTCCGATATGACCCAACTATGTTGTTTTCTAATTTGTTATTATAGTTATGTATTTGTCAAATCGACTTAAAAATTTGTTGGAAAAACAAGTAATTTTGTTTATTAAATTATTAGACTCTATAGAAATCCCTCTTAGGTTGTTCGCCAGATGTTTCACGAGTTCTTGTGCTGGCTGCAACAAATTTTCCGTGGGATCTGGATGAAGCTTTAAGAAGGCGTCTTGAGAAACGAATATATATTCCATTGCCAGATAAAACTAATAGATTTCAGTTGTTAAAGTTGGCTTTAGCTGAAGTTTCTATCGATGACGAAGTTAATTTAGAAACTGTAAGTTTTTGTTTAGAGTTAGTGAATGAATATTATATTTTATTAAGATTTAAAGCACTGACTGGTCCAACGAGCACACTGTCAAGGAGATTGTTTTTAAATTTTTTTTTATTGTTTTGCTTCTAAACTTTTTTGAAACTAAGCATTCTTTCTAGGTGGCCGATTCGCTTAATGGTTATTCAGGAGCGGATATCACAAATGTCTGTCGTGAAGCAGCAATGATGAGTATGCGTGTACGTATTGCCAATTTAACAGCTGAAGAAATCAAAGCATTGACGCAAGAAGAAGTTGATTTACCGATTACCTCTAGTGATTTTTCACAAGCAATACAAAATACGTCACCTTCGGTATCCTACTTTGATGTGCAGAAGTATGAGAAATGGATACATGATTATGGCGCGGCGTGAGAGGTCCATATCGCAGATTAAAGTGAATTAAAGTATCGTAGCGTTATTAAAGTATCGTAGCGTAAAGGTATCTAATATGTTTTTTAAAAAAATGTGTGTGTAATATGGTAGAAATGCTTCCACTTTTGACTTTACATCTATTTATTTTTATATTGTATATACCATTTTTATGCTTTATGCCATTTTTGCTTCATTTTTCGAAATAGGGATTCATATTGTATGTTGTACATGTGTTGTAACAGCCTGTGTTATTCGATACAGCAATGCTTATTGAGATTTAAAAATGTCTTTCTTTATCTTTGTTATTTTCATGTTCATGTTTGATACAAAGTGTCATATCGTGATGTTATTAGCTCATCTTCGTCATTCTGTTCATTATTATTCATGCATTTAGTTTTTTCGATGACAGTAAAGTTTATCATCGGCATTGTATTAACTTGAAATAGTGTATAGATCCCAGTTCATCTTTCGCTTGTTTTCCTAAACTTTTAATCTGATGGCATGAATTGCTTTCATGGTACCATATATGAATGATTTGCATAGATCTCTCCCTGAAACTTCTGTTTTTCAATATAATTGGATTTTTCATTCACAGTGTGGATGTGTGTGGAAAATGGAAATTCCTAGTTCCAGTCAGTCAGGTTTGCTTTGATATTGGTATTGTTTTTATTTTTGTTTCATGTTTCATTTCATTTTAAAAAGTTTTGCCTTAAAAAAATAAAACTAGAAACATAAGTATATTTTATGTAAGAATTATCACATTATATAAATTAAAGGTATTTTACAGGAACGACGTTGTTGAACTCAAAATTGGTTATCAATCGGAAACGTCAGGAAGGAAATCCCGTTCTGAAGTATATACGTAATGTTCCCTTTGAATGGGCAGATATCAAAGTTCCTGTTTTTTCTGTTTTACTATGCTAAATTTCAATATTTTTTTATAGAAAAATGCATAAAATATGAAGTATAGATGTTCAAACCATTGGTATGAACCACTCTTCATGCACCATTTTTTTTTTAAAAGAATTATGATTCCAGGCTGATTTTGAAGCTGGTAGAGAAATGGGCATCTTATATCTCAGTTTAAAATGGCATAAGCTTCATCCAAATTATATAGAGACTCGCATAAATAGTGATGATGGTGGGTATGCAATAAAGGTAAGATGATCGAAAAGGACATTGAATTTCAACACTACTGCTATTGGATTACGCGAACACATCTTTTGTTCATATATACAACACGAACCGAAATTGCAAGTAATTTGCCGATTTTCATATGGTTTTTAGTTCTGTAATCTTGAAAAGTTTTTTTTTCAGATCTTATTGGTGCTTGTGAATGTGGAACCTCGTCACATTCTACGCGAATTAAATCTCTTTTGTTATCGAACTGGTTGGACGCTTATGCTCTGTTACTCCGCTGAAGAAGCTGCGGAGTACTTAGAAAATTTGTATTTTTCAAAAAATAAAAATGAACAAAGCGCCGTTAATGCGGTACAAGAACGGAAAAGAAAACGACTTTGCTTACCAGAAGACGATAACGAGTTACATCAGGTAATTTACGCTTTGTTTGTTCGATCTCTACTAAAATTCAAATTCTGCTGGATAAGAAGGAGAAAGTGAAGTTTGTTTTATTTTTCTTAAGAAAAGTTGTGATTGTAAAAGTGTTGTAGGGTTTGGCTATAATACAGCTTATATCAAGAAACTACTAGTATTAACTTTCTCCTTCGTATTTGCATGTGTCCTGCATTTATCGAATAAAGTGCTATACTTCGCCATTATTAAAACTGCAGTATTTTTATATTGAAAATGAAGATATGTCTAATTTTTCTGGAATTCTTCGGAAGTGATATTATCTGTGAAAAGCTACGTATGTTTTTCAGGCAGCCAAATTTCTTACTGTTATTCGATCATTGACAATATCTGATGCACAACGTTTGATTGCTACTTTTGGCAGCATCCGAAAAATAGCAAATGCGGATATTGATAGGTTGCTGTTATGTCCTGGCTTAGGTCCTACGAAGGCAAGAAATGTACATGCATTCTTCCGAACAACTTTTCAGAAAGCTTGAAGTCGAAGTTTTTCACACATTTTGTAACATTATTAAAATAAATCTTATAAGAAGTTGAAGTTGTAATTCAGCATGTCATAATATAGCATTCACAGCGAATCAATGCACCTGAAAAGGATACTATTTTTTTCATACTTCATAACCAAATAATGTGTATGGAAAAACTGGTAGAGACTGGGGTCGAATCCTTACATTCGGACCTTGTTTTCTGCTTGGTATATTTGAATTGCTTGGGCAATTGAGAATTATGTAAATGTTGCGTATTTCAAAGTGTTAGCGAATTTCGACATTGGTTTTTTTGTAAAGTTGAGCAAATTCGGTTTTTTTGACTATTTTCGTATCGTTTTTCTTTAATATTCCTCTAAATTTGAACAAAACAAAGCAAAGCTTTGTTTAAATTTTAGGGAAAAATCATATAAAATCATTTCATTTAATCTGTTTTTTAGTTCTTTGGAGGTTTATGGCTTTTCTTTTATTTGAAAATAATTCTTGATTATCAGTGGGTTCTTTTTGTTTAGTTGCCGCTTTCTTAGAAGTGTTGCTTAAGTTATTCAGACTGTCAAAAGCGATGAATAATGATATTCCTGAAAATGCAAACGAAGATTGTCCCGGAGCAACATCTGCGGATGCGGGCAAGGTGATTTTTTTACCAGGCAGTAAGTTAAATAGTAATGAATATCATATAGCTCAATTATAGAGTTGAGAGTATCAAACTTGTGGTAGACATATTATTGAATTTTATTTCTATGCTATATGCGAAGAATTTTTTACAACAGTTGGTTCTTTTCGTCGTCAATCTGTAGCTTTAACAATTTCCCCACCGCTATGTCAAATTTACTGTTGATGTTTTTAATATTGAATTAACAGCATAGAAAATAGAAGAGTACACTTTTTTATGTTTCGGTATGTTGAAAAAAACAATGGTATACCTGAAACGTAGAAAAATCGCACATTTGCTGGGCGAAATGGAAGGAATTTTACAATGCACTTTTTAAAAAATCTGAAAATGACATTTTCAATTCCATAATTCAACATCATTCGTAGACTTTTCAACGGGTTTAATAACTCTTCTCTTTATTTTTTAATGCTGCATATTGACTTTCTTATATTCATATTGCATCATAGAATTGGTCTTTTTCCTTCCTTTTTTCCGATTGCGAAGTTTTTTTGTATTTAAGCTAACTGAACTGGCATAGGAAACAAAATTTTCGGATATAAATGAAATTTACATGTAGTAATCTTTGCATAAAGCAATTGCATAATATTTTTAAAGTTCCTAATAATTAGTTTAGAATTGCTTATGGAATTGCAGGTAGCTTCGTGTGCTGGCTGTCCCAACCAGGCACTGTGTTCAGCTGGCGAAGGAAGAAAGTCAGATGCAGATCTTCCGGCAATTGCAGATCGTTTGAAAAATATTAAACATAAAATCTTGATACTTTCTGGAAAAGGTGGTGTCGGAAAAAGTGCTGTGGCGGCAAATTTAGCTAGAGCTCTTGCAGAGAATGATAAAATACAGGTAATGGTATAGTCTTAAGATGAAACTGATTCTTTTTCCGTCTTGATTTATTATAATGCGGACAATTATTATCAAAATACCGATCAAGCAGATGCTAGAGTCTATGACTAATATAAATTAGTCACAAAAATAATTTTGTATGAAGAAAATCTTTTCTAATAGAAGAACAAATCTTTGAAGGTCGGACTTCTGGACGTAGACATTTGCGGACCATCGCAGGCGCGAATGCTGGGTGTTGAACAAGAAAGTGTTCATGAGAGTGCTGATGGTTGGTGTCCCATTGCTGTGAAAGATAATCTTGTATTAATGAGTGTTGCATTCTTATTGCAAAACAGATCTGAAGCAGTTATTTGGCGAGGAGCGCGCAAAAATGCTTTGATAAAACAGTTTTTAAAGGTTGATTTCCTTGTTCATATGTTTTCATATTATTTCTTATGGTGTAATATCATCTCGCTCAAATTTAGGAAATTTTCAAATTTTTAGAGAAATTTTCCAGCAAAGGGCCACAGTGGAATGCATGAAAGAAAATTAAATGCTTACCATGGGATTTACATATATTTATCTTTGATAGTTTGGCCAGAATTTTAAAACATGAGGAATCAATCTTATCGTAAATATGTGTTAATTCATATACAACCCTGGAGATTCTTTCTTTTATTATTTTTCTTTACAGTAAGGTAAATCTTTCATTTGATTTTTCTCAAATATAGGAATTAGTTATTGTGTCCATAAAATATATTCGTCTCTTTCATCAGATGAAAACTAAATATTTCCTTTCACTAGATACGTATTATTAAATAAGCATCGTATTAATAAATTAAGACAATTAAATTCAGGATGTAGACTGGCGAAGTTTGGATTTCTTATTGATTGATACACCTCCTGGGACTTCGGATGAACATATCTCTACTGTCCAGTTTCTTTTGCAAGCAGGTTCTGTAGATGGCGCTATTGTGGTAACCACACCTCAAGAGATATCATTACTTGACGTCCGCAAAGAAGTAAATGCTTTTTTTCATCTTTGATAATATTATACATTTTGTACAAAATTAATTATCGTGTTTGTGTATTGTGCTAATATTTTAAGCCATAACTTTCCATTTTTTCCAGATCGATTTCTGCCGTAGAACAAAAGTTAACGTATTAGGAGTTGTTGAGAATATGTCTTCATTCATTTGTCCTTGTTGTTCGAAAATTTCTCAACTTTTTCCACGCACAACTGGTGGTGCTGAAACGATGTGCACTGAATTATCGGTTCCTTTACTGGCTTCATTGCCATTCGATAGTAATATAGCTGAATGCGCTGATGCTGGAGAAGATTTCTTTGAAAAATATCACAATTCTGTTCTAGCTAAAGAATTTGAAAAGCTTGCACAACTTATCTCTAAATGACGGTTTACTGAAGTTCTGTTTTTGGGGAGCACTGTTGTTCGTGGTTTCTTAGGGAACGGGCATGAGCTTTTCATTAAAAAAGCCATTACTAAATGAAAAGTCATCTAAAACAATAATATGAAGGGAGTAATAATTGGTTTTCACATGTTGTTGTCTATAACATTCAATTTGCTTCTGATCTTGGCGGTGTTGTAAAATGCGGCATAAAATTTTCATTATTTCTACCATTAATACCTTAAACAATATCTTAAACTGATGCTTAATTATAAGCAAAGTGTCTGGATCAATTAAATATTGAGTAGCTTTATTTGAATTTCATATGTTCATTCTAAGCTGGAAAAAATATAAGGTGTTTAGAATTTGGAAAGGAAAATGTCTTCAGTGCACTTAGATTATAGTCTCGACTGCTCATAATATGGTTTACCACTTAGGATTTGTATAATGTTAGTACTCGATTTAACAAACTTCCAATTTTTTTATATCTGCTGTGGACTTATTTTAAAAGTATTACTGAGTGGATTAAAATGCTTAACTTGTGCTTACAATGCTTTCAGATTTGATGAAACGAATTGTGATAACAGGTATAGGTATTGTAAGTCCATTTGGTGTCGGTAAAAGAGTTCTCTTTGACAATTTATTAGCTAACAATGTTGCGTTGCAAAACGATGAAAAACTTAGAATAATTGTGGGACGAGTTGCGGATCGTGGAGAATATGGCCTTGATTTGAGTTCGTGGACACCTCGAAAGTTGAAACAAATGAGCAGAGGTATTATTGAGGTTCTTTGTTTGTTTATATGATGGCGTCATGTGTTTTCAAAAAGTTGAAAGTGCTGATGAAGGCTCATTGACTGGTTTTCTGTGGACTTTAGATTTGAGTCCTTATTTGATTTGTGTTAATTTTACAGATGATTAGCTCTTCTAGATTTCAGGTAGTGTGCTTGCAATCGTTGCAGCGGAAGAAGCAGTGAAAGATGCTGGTTTAAAGGAATGCCATATGGAGGAAACTGGCGTTAATGTTGGAATGGGCATAGCTGATTTGGAGGTAATTTACGAAGTTGGTAAACAAATTGCAGAAGGTAAAGGACATCGAGTTACACCTTTTTTTATACCACGTATACTGACCAACATGCCGGCAGGACATGTAAGTATCAAGTAGGTTCATAATGTGATTTATTGTTTTTCTAAAGCAGTATTATTAATTTTAAATCTCCGGGTTAAGTAACTTATAGCTCTTATGGGACGAACTCATTATTTGCTTATGGAGGAAGCATTTATTTAAATTATAGGTTTGGTATGCGTGGACCACACTTAAGCTCTTGTACTGCGTGCGCAACAGGTTTACATAGTGTTGGAGATTCAGCGACATTTATTAAGATGGGTCGAGCGAAGCGCATGCTTGCAGGTGCGACCGAAGCATGTGTCAATAGTATAGCAATAACTGGATTTAGTCAGATGAGGTTTTGATTTTTTCTTTCATACTCAGTATTTCTGATTAACCTGTTTAATTCTCCCTCCGGCCAATATTTATGAGTACTATGAAAGCTTCAAAAGTTTGTGATGATATTTTTGGCAGTCAACGGTATCATACCTTATCATAAATATAATTCCCAGTTTTTTAAAGTTTTCAAAATATTATGTAATCCAGTTCAATTAAGTATTATCTACAACTTTAGTCTCTTATCACATCCTTTATTCGTTAATAACTCTCTTATCACATCCTTTATTAAATAGATGTTATCATTTTTTGACTTTCGTTTTTATACACCTTTCGTCTCCTTTAATTCTAATCTTTATAGCATTACTGCCCTGAAATTCTTTTGTTTCGAAATTTATAAGTAACAGTTGGCATTAATTTAGTTCTCATTATGCACTAATCCACCTTAATTTGTTTAGATATTATTGGACTTTTGAATTTTGCTTGTTGTTTATTTCTAAAATTCAGAGCACTAACTACAACTTGCTCACGGCCATTTGACAAGGAGCGTGATGGATTCGTATTGAGTGAAGGTGCTGCCATTTTGGTTCTGGAAGAAATGGAGGAGGCACTTAGACGAAAAGCGAATATTTATGCTGAAATTATAGGATATGGTGAGCAATTTTTCAAGAAATTAATTATAAATCGATGGAGGTTAAATTTGATGACATACACTATACCGAGGATTTCAATGACGTTTGAATGATTTATATTTGCTAGAAGTTGAAATTATTCTTTACGTTGTTCATAGCAACTAATTCGACAATTAACCTTTTGAAGTCATTGTAACCAAAATAAGATTTATCTAAAAAAAAATATTCTCCAATATGTGAATAGATCTGAGAATGCTTTTTTGACGTTTAAAGGTGTCGCAGGCGATGCTTATCATCTTACGACACCATCAGAAGATGGTATTGGAGCTTTCCTAAGTATGGAAAGATGCTTGGTTGACTCATGCATCAATCCAGAGCAAGTTACATACGTAAATGCTCACGCAACTTCGACAGTACTTGGTGATCATTTCGAATCACGAGCCATTGCTAGCCTTTTTCCTGGTGTTGCAGTTTCGTCGATTAAAGATTAGTTATTCTTCTTGTCATAGGATTTTATTGAATTTATACAAATACATTACCGAGTTTGAAGTTCATCTGCATAAATATTCTCAACCTTTAAATGTTATTTTAAGTACGGAGACTTGGGAACAAATCTCTCAGACTAATTTTAAAAATAATTTCATTTTATGTTGGCAAAATTATTAAATCTGTTGACTTAATCTTTGTGTTGCAGGTCATATAGGTCATACCTTAGCGGCGGCCGGTGCAATCGAAACAGCGATCACAGCAATGTGTGTTAAAGAAGGCAAACTGGTGGGGAACGTCAGACTAGAAGAAAGCGATATTAAAGAGAATTTACGTTTCCTTAAACAATCGGAAAGATGGAATAAGAAACGAATAGCCTTGGTAAACTCTTTTGGTTTTGGTGGGTCACATGCTACTTTATGTCTATCAGCAATAGAAAATTCTTAATGGTCAATCCTGAATATTTAGAAGCACTGAGAGGCTCATGGATTAGAATATTAAGTTTATTATTTCTGATTCAAGATACATTTCTAACTCCATATTAATGGAATCCATCTTGACCAACTTCTAATGGTTCTGCAATTTGATACCACATTAAAAGTAGTTTTTTTTTGCCCTATATAAGACGTCAGAGCATCCAGCCTCAGAGAATTAAACTGAGATAGGTGTTTTTAAAGAAATTCACTAGAGCAAAACTTTTGTGGAATAAGTGGTTTACGATAACTTGATTTATATAAAGTTAATCATTATTGAACATATTTGAATGTATTCCAATACTATGAAGCTTCGTTTCCTTATATATTTAGTAAATTAAAAAAAGATGGAAATAAAATACTTTTTATTACAACATCTACGTTGCCCATTTCAATTTCAAATTTAAATTGAACAGTTTGAACTCTAGAACAATTGAGCAAAAAAATTATAGTTTGCCAATTATTGGTGTAACTGTGACGATTCTCTTCATAGAAGAAAATAATATTGACTAGGTGACAGAGATGGTTCCTCAATCTTCAAGTTAGGAACGGTTTAATCAGTCTCTCGCACAAATGATTGTGTATTGTGTTTCTTCATTGTTTATTTTACAGATGCAAAAAATCGTTGAATACGGATTGATTTCAAATGACATATTTAAAAGAGAGGCTAACAAAATAAAGTAATTCTTATTAATTATGAGAAACATATTTCCTAACTTTGGGATTAAAAGCAGTTTTGTTGAAGAAAAATTTGTGATAAATCTGTTATGAGACTGTTCCAATTTCTGGAGTAATTTTCCCTTCCGGCAAAATAATTTACCAGTATTTTTTAAAGAATTAATAAGAAATTAAAGAATTAATTAATAAGAATAAGAAATTTTTATTTTGGCTGCAAACAACTCAATCATCATGATTCATGGAATGATTCCATGAAATCATACTAACGCTGACATAGTGTGCTAACGCACAATGGTTTTACCATTGGCTTATCAGTTTGAAAAAGTAATTCGAAATTTTAGTGATTATAGCAGATGATGCTCTTAAAATGGCCAAGTAGTCATTTTAAATGATATTAAGTGCTTTTTGAATTAACAATAGCTTCTGAAATAGTGTTGTAAACGGTGAGAAATGTCGTTTTGTTTTAATTGCGGAACATTGAAAGAATCAATAAACACATTGAACTTGTGAAACATTGAAACATATGCCACTAGGAGTAGTAATACGATACTTGATGTATTCCAGTATGATTAGGGGTGTTTTAGCAGAACTATCCTAGGGCAGTACGTCATCAGTTTCATTATTACATTCGCCATTTAATTTATATTAATCATATAAAAGTACTACAAATCATTAACTCTCACCTCACATGCATTAACAACAATTTCCTTCCAGAACATGCTGTTCTTTTTTATGATCGGGATTTATTTCGGAGATGCTAACAAATTTTTTTGAAAATTGGCATGATATGCAAATAATTACTGTTCCTCTAATCATGTTTATTAACAGTGCGAACATATATTCAGATAAGGTGTTGAAATTATATTGCATTACTTTGACCAATGATTGACTTTGACATTCAATAACTATAACTCCCATCGCTTAACTATATTTGTGATTTTCATTTCAAAATATTGTAAGTAATATAATCGTGGGAAATGATAATAAAGAATACGTTCTTTTTCGGAAATTTTTGATTTCCAATTCATACGGATAACTGATGCCACTCAGCAATCTGTCGTCGTGGATTGTTCCGTACCTGAAGCCAGTGCTCATCGTTGTGTCCAATAAAACATTTACCCATCACCTGAAGAAAAGGAATTTAAAATTTCTGAATTCAATAAACGTTTTTAAAATAAAATATATAAACATATATGGCTTTAACTTCAAATTACAGAAAAAAATTTCAAACTATATTTGCTCCATGTAAAAAGTTTTGTATGATAATCAGTGCAGTATTTACTAATTTGTAGCTAACATATACTGCATTCTAATATCACTAAAAAAAAGAGAAGAAACTCTCAATACAAAGTTTTCAACAGTCCTCGTTTTGAAATCGAGCAATCCTTTATTCATCTGTATAGATATTTAATTTGCCGAAGCAAAATTTAAAACCTCATTTTTCGTCAGGCGATCCCAGTCCATAACTACAATTTCAAATTCAACATTATCCAAATCTTCGTCCTCAGTGCACGGTAACTCAAAAACAAACGATTCATTGTAAACCGGTGATAGCGTACATTTTTTTACATGACTTCTCTTTTTGGAAATCCGTTGCTCCTTATAAAGCATATAAATTTTGATGTATGGATCTGAAATTTGAAGAGATTTGTGAAAAGTGAATTGAAATGAATTTTCAAGTTAGATAAAACATTATAATATAATGCGTGTTATGCAATACACTTGGAAAACGAACATCATTAATCTTTAAAAATCAATAACAGTCAAGAAATAATTGGAGTTGTTAAAGAAATTATATAAGAATTCAACTTACCAGCCATTCCACTGACATCCAATTTTGGTAAACCTTTAGCTTTAATTAATACAACTGTAACTCGATGTGTTGTTGGCTGATAGCACAATGATAGCAATACTTGTCCACGATTATCATTATTTGCATCTTTTCCACGACCTTCAAGTTTCAGATCCACAGTGACAATCTCATTGTTTAACAAATTTGCATCTTTTAATGAATATACTGCTTCACCTAGCAGTGTATCTCGACTGTAACGATCGAATGCAACTACCTAAAAATTATAAAACTATATTTGCTAAAAAAAATATTTCTAATAGTAAATTTATTCTAAAGATGACCGATAGTAAAATAGTTATAAGTAAAATTGTAAATAAAAATAGTAAAATAAAATACATGATCTAAACATGATCAGTAAATCAAAATAAACCAGTAAAATAGTTGATGCAAAGGAAATTAAACAAATTTCAGCAAAGAATTCAAACCGATCAAGTCTTTCATGTCTTAAACTGATCTTAGTAGTTGTTAATTAATAAAAATTTTCTAACCGCAAAATGTAAACTTGTTGTAGCAAGTTGCAATGTATCCATTCCATACATGGAAAATATTTCATCATATTGTGGATTTCTTGATGCACGAACAAGACGAGTTTTAACACGATGCTGTTTTTCGGGTAATAATTGAAGTTTAACATATGGTTCCAAGAAACATTGACCATCAGATGCTATTATTAATTCTGGTAAATTTCGACAAGATATTATATTAACCTGCAAAATAGTTTGAGTTTTCATAAGAATAACATTCATAAGTAATATAGGCTTAAAATTGAGAGACATTTTCCAAACCAATATTCTCTCACGTATGTTCATTAAATGCAGTACAGCATATTTGCACTCCACGCAATCACTTTCCACTCCTTTCATCTCATATGGCAATCATTTTTTGCTACCTTCATATCATATAAGAAATTGAAAATGAATGAACTAGTTGATACGATTTTTCCTCCATTATCAATCACAAATTGTTGGTTAATCCATAAGGATATATTTTAGATCCTTTCAGGCATTATTGTACTTCGTCCAGTATATTTGTTTATACATATTTTCATTTAGTCCAGTATATTTAATATATTTACCTGTAATGTTGAATTTTCGACATTGTAGTAAACGGTGAAATTAATAAATCCTCGATCTGGTCCCAATTGTGAAAGGGATAATCGATTCAATGGTTGTGATAAAATAATGGATGATTGAGTTGATACTACAGGGCTAGAGTTTGAGCTATCTGATGAAAACGGTGATGAGAGTGATGATGGTGAATTTTTCAGACCTCCTGGACATTTCTCATTTTCATACTTTAAGGCAATAGCAGTACGGGGTTCAATTAAAACATCACGTTTCTTAAAACTCGCATACTGTTGCCGTCGAAGGATGCATACTGATAAAACTGCCAAGTATGCAAAAGCAGCTCCAGCAATCATCAAATACAAGATTACATCTGTAATGAACAGAGTAACCAAGAAAAATGAAGCATCAATATCATCATATCAGACTTGAGAATTTAATGGATAAATCAGTAATAGAACTAGAATTAAGAATGGAAATAAATGTTTCATAATCTAAAATATTATTTTTCATCTTCTATCTGTGCCCATGATTTTCAGATAATTATTGATAGCTGTTCATAATTTTTATTGAATAAGATGGAAATGAAGCTATCTTCTCTCTTACCTCATCCTCTCTTTACTCCAAATCTGTAAGTATCGATAAAACAAAAAAATCGAAATTTGTGCTTAAACAATATTTATAAAATCTTAATTGAAGTTTACTTGAATAATTCTAGAAAATTTATAATAAGCTTAAATAATTTAACAAATGGAAATCTTATTCCCAACTCCTTCCCAACACTGAATGATTAAAGCATTCCTAAAAGTTCTTTTAATTTTGGAGCATTTCAATAATAGATTAAATTAGAATAGCGATAAAAGAACTGCTTCTATTTTTCCTTATCATCCAATTGTTAAGTTAAAAGCAAAAAAGTTGTAATTTTATCATAATATCAAAGAGTGATACTACGATTACCATAATTATGATATTTTATATTATGACTATCAAAAAAAAATTTAATAGCAAATTTAAGGAGTATTTCAGCTTGCTTCCATGCTTCGCATTTTAAAGAAACTATGCTTTTCAAATTGTAATTTGTCAAATTTTCTTCCTTCTCCAAAAGAAAGTAACTTACTGAAAGAAAAGTAGAATGTAGTTGACGGATTGACTGCACCCATCTTACGCTCACAAGTAAGGCCCAACAAGACAAGAACAAGCCTTTTGTTCCATCCTCTTGAATTCTCTCTCTGCTAGGCCCAAAGGCTGTATCGATTTTGTAATCAATCCCATGCATTCCCTGGCCTGAAATGACATCATTTTTGAAAGTCTTCACATCACCCGGCTGAGCCTTTCACCTTCACAAACTTCTAAGGCACAATATGCCTCAAGTCATAAGCGCATCTGAAATCAAAGACTGCCCATCTAAAAGATCATCTTAATAATACATACGTAAAACCACCACAATTTTAATACAAAATCGAAGAACTTCAAGTAATGAATTTTCCGTTTATATTTATATTCAATTCAGAATGTCTTTCTGGTAAATAAGCAAAGAAATTTCCTCCTTTTTAAGTTTCAATTGTGTTCCATTTCTCCGTGTAGTTGTAATTCGATTTCTATACAATGAATTCATTTCAATTTAATTTTTTTCTTCCGGTTAAAACATTCGTTAGACAAAATACAAGTTTATCGACGATACAACAAATATAATAATATCTCACGATAGAAATGGAAAGATTGTTCTGTGAAGAAATATATCAAATTGCTCTTCTAGTAGTTGTTTGAATCCATTAAATATTTAAGGGAATTGAACTTTAAATTTGAGAAATTTCGAAAACAACAGTCAATGACAGCACATTATTAACAGCTTGAGAAGTGCTCCCTTTCTTCGTATAATTGGATAGTGATTTCTGGTAAATCTGAAATAAAATTTTCAGTGACCCTAAGAAATTTCTCAGCCTTACTATAATATTACGATCTGCATTTCGTTGGATCACAGATATCTTCTTACTTTTATCAGTTTTTTGTATCGCTTTTATTCAGTACCAAGTAATAATTTGTTTTTTAAGAAATAACGAATCAGGATTAACTGAAGTTAACAGTACAATTGAAGTATCTTCTAATTTCATCTGTAAAACTGCCATTGCATTCAATATGGTCATTATATGTTCATTGATAAACAAGAACTGGTTTACACCTAACTTGATAAGCACATAAATATATGTAGGTTTTCTTATATTTTAAAAAGGCAAACGTGAGCTCAACCTATCTCCTTTTTACATATTTGAATGAAAATATGAAGATATACACATCTCATTTCTTATTTTCCAACCAGTTTTTATAAAAGTTTTCCACCAAGGAATGCTGGAAAAGGAAATGTGGTTGGTTTTGAAAATTTCAGAAATCTTATTTAGAGTACAGTAGATGGTCTTCACATTCATTTTTGGGAACTGATAAAGTCAACATTATATTATGGTTAAACATTATATTTAACTATGTTTTAAGTTAAAAAGTCTTAATCTTCTTATTGAGACTAAAACCGAAAAAGCATCGTTTTGCTAATTCAAAGAATACAATCGGTTACTAATTCAGCGATTACAATCGGCCAGTTTTGTAGCTACTAAGTCTGGACAGGTATGACATAGTAGATTAAAAAGGATATCGGTATCACTCTGTGATATCATTCTAAATGAGCAAAGTCTTGCAATTTTTCGATCAGCTAATGCAATTAAGCAAATAGTTTGCTCTGGTGATATTAACGAGAAATAATCATTTGTCCCATTTAGTACATACTGATTACAACATGAAAACAAAACCACACACATGCATTACGGCGGTAATTTAAACTACACATTAGTTGGCGGTGAATAATTAGCATATATTTTTTAAATAAATATCCTTTAAAATGGTGACAAGGCCACCTCAGATCTCAACCTCTCGGTCCACACCCCAAGTATCTTCTTTTCTTCCCTTATAAAAACAAAATAATCGTAGGCCCATAAAAATACTAATCGATTGGGATTTGAAATTTAATTTAAAAAACCAACCAATTTAAATTTAATTCTCATTTCAGAATTCCATATCTTTGGATGAAATCATGCTTCGCATAAATTCTATCTCAGTAAGAATGTTGAGAAACATTTAACAAAAACATTTTGCTAGGGAAGGTAACAATGAATTTGATACGCATAAGAGTTGAATTGATTAACATTCATAATCCAAGCATTGTTGTCGAATTTTATCCTTCAAGATTTCGTCTGCAAAAACAATATATTCATAAATAATGTCTTAGTTTTCCTGTTACCTTTAAAAAAAATTTTACTTGCAAATATATTTCGAGTGATTGATAAAAAAAGCTCCGAAATACTTGTTAAGGACCTTCAGTTTATAAACGATATTTAATCTACATAATAAAGAGCGGAAGCACTGCGACTGATTATGCACAAGTGATGAAATTAGGAGATTCAAAGTGTAAAAAGCAACATAACTTCATCAAATGAGAAAATTTCTGAAAACTCAGAAAATTCAATAAATGAAGGTCAGTTTTCTGAAAACAAACTATTAAATTCAATAAAAAACTGCAAATAGTGAAATGCAATATACAGCATGAAATTTAAGCAATGCTAATTCATAAATTTTCCATTAGTAAAATGAAAAAGATTAATTTACATTAAGAACAGGAAAAGCATTATAGATCGGAACTTGACGTTACACTCGTCCTTCTGTCATTAAGTGTTAACTTCAAAAATGGGTTTTTTAAATTGCTTAGAAGATTACAATAATACAGAATTTGTGCGCAAAAAAATCGTCTAACTGCACCAACCAACAAATATAGAGCAAAAGAACTGTGAAAAAATTGTTTTAAAACCGATTTTAAAACAAAAAACAACGGAAATGAAAACTGAAAAATGAATATTTAGAAAGAAACACAGCAAAAAAAGCACAGCTCAAAAATGCGCTCATGTGGTCCATGCAAAATTTCAAATGACAAACTGCTAGATGAATATTACCAGCATATTTTTACGAAAAAGCGAAGAAGCCATTATTTAATAAAGTATAAAATAATATTCCTAGCACTCAACTTCACTTCCCTAAGATACTTTAAAATTAAAAAGTACAATAGTCTAACGTGCATAAGCAATATTGAAGTTAAAATGTGAATTTTGCAAAAACTTCAACAATTGATGGAAGGAAGCCGTAGTTTGATTTATTCCAAAAATGAATCAACAAAATGTAATCGGTGTGTAACCCAAAAATGCTGTCACATTTTCACACTTAATAATGATATATATATATCAACTCCTCCTCCACTTATTATAAAATGAACCATAAACACATTGACAGGTGAATGGCAAGCGACAGGTTAGCGCAGAGCTGGCATGGCTTAACTTGGATTACAAATGTGTCTGAAAATAATTACAATAATAAACTTGAAACAAGTTTACTTAGTTTACTTGAGTAATTTCCTTAAATTTTACAAATAAATTAACCTTACTGACTTCTCCGTATAAATAGAAACAAGAAATCATATCAGAAAACATTTATCTTCAATATAATAAGGTGGTTTGTTCGTTCTAAATGCTTTAATGGATATTTGACAGGCAGCAATTTTGTCTACGTTCAATAGTTAACACTACCAAAAATCTTATCAGCAAAGCAAAAAACTGATTTTAAGAGATTTTTACTGACATGGCAGTGTACCATTAAATGGGACTAAAGTACGCAAAGCTTCGTACAATTTATTTTCTCCCACACAGTATACAAATTTCTTTCGAAAAAGAGGTAAAAAGAGCGATAGATTACAGTAACAAAAAAGCGCGAATGCAAGCAATTGTAGCAAGCATGCATGGGAAAATATAACACGAACTTTCTGCGATCTCCATTGAGATGTCAACCAATTTCGTTCGAATCACTAAATCCCAAACTACTAAATACTTTCAAAGAACTCACCATGACATTTTCTTCTGAGGAATGTAAATTGGCGGTCTTGGACAGTTCTGTAGGATCAGGATCAGGAGCGAACAGACGTTCAACTTTCTTTTCGCGCGGCTTCCTGAAACGAATCTTGGGATAAAGAAGTTGATAAAAGAAACTATAAGAATCCACATATGCACCCCTTTCTTCAATTACAGTTCCTGGATTCTCCGGGTACTTCAATCATAAAATAAGGAAATATGAAGTCAAAATATATTTTTTTTTCAAACAGTAATTAGAATTTATAGTGAAAAAACAAACTGTGGTGGATCAAACTGAATTTCAAAAACAAAGCACGTGATAATTTGTGCTTTATATAACTTCATCTTCAATCAAGCAGACGAGCAAACTATGTTTACTTTTTGTTGCACTTCGCAAAACATTTAGTCAAAAAATATTTTGAATATAGAAGTTCACATAACTTATAATAACTGTTTGTTTGTTCAACAATAACATATTAGAAAAATGGAAGACAGAAACATACTGTTTAATGATTTGTAGCTGTGTAAATTTGAAAAAAATATTTTCTTATAATGGACTTCTTATAAAGAAGTTATCCTTACAAAAATTTGTATTAAAAGATGATTTCATAGGTCTTTGGAAAGAATGAAAAGAAAACTCTGAGATTGCAAGAAGATACCTCTTGAACTTGCATGAGCATTCTTCACAAAAGTGTTATGAAAACAAAACTCACTGTGGATTGTTAAAAGGTCTTCGTGAAGTATCTACCGTTGCAGTTGATTCCCCTTCGTCTTTTTCCGTTAAACTTCGCCTAGGAAGAGGCCGTTTCGAAGGACTCTGTCGAAGTGCTGAAATTTTGTTTACGATATTAAACTAAAAACAATCACGAAATCAATATTCAACAAGCATGCCGTTCAATATAACGTGAAATTTTCCACAGTCAAAGTAGATTAATAGTTAAGTTATTTCGTAATTCTATAACAACAAACTGTTCTAAAAACAACATTTGTTACTTCTATGTAATTTTAGATTTCTTCCAATAAAGGGTCGAGATCGATAAGTAATTATTTCACATACACTAACATATAGTTGATTTATGAGAATTCAACCTAAAACTAATAAGATGAGTTCCTTCCGCATATATTTTCTCATGACGATTGTCCATTAAGTCTCGAAAAGTTAGATGTAAATTTATGTTTGTCAATTTCAAAATTTCCAACGTTTATAATATAAGTTAGATTATTAAGAGTTTATTAAGAGATACTAAGAGTTGATCATGCCAGAAAAGTGTGTTGATTTTATGCTACGAATATTCACAAGCAAACACGGAAATGAAATAAAGTGAACTAAATGTTAAATATAAAGATGAAAACAACACTGCAGGCAATTTCGTATCTAGATAAAGAATCAAATTATGAGGTGAAGCATGCTGACGACGATTACAAGGGAACTAAAAAACCAAATGTGGAAAATAACAATATGATATTAAGTTCAGTAAGAAAGAAAAACCAAAAAACCTTCAGAATTTCAACTTCGAATTTATGAACTTGAAGTTTCTTGAAATAGGAATAATACTGATATTTAATTAAATATTAATACTGTGAAGCCTTCAATATAATAAATAAAGCGAAAAACTACCATGCAAATATTTCCACAAGTCAACTTCACGAATGCAATCTATCTGTTACAAAAATTTCAAAGATTCTCGTTTTTTTTTTAAGTCCTCTATAAGGAATGATACTGAAAATACCCAAATAAGATGTAACGACCGATTTGAATTTTGTATGACCGCCTTTGGGTACCAACTCAGCTGCAAAAAAACATGCACTACATATACGGTGATTTGGATTTGAGATAAGAATTATATCAGATGTTTTCCGGAAAATGTCGATAAGAGAAAACAAAAATTCGTATTTCTTGAAAAAATTAAGCCATCCTTCCATTTTGAAATATCACATTTAAGAACGAAAAAAGTAATTAACGTAACCAACGAATCTTTCCCTGCATGCACTCATCAAAGAAATGAATTCAAGTTGGAAAATATAACGTAAATGAAATTAAAATAATAATGGTCACCTGCTGTCATGTGAAATACATGCGATTTGAGAAAAGTGATAAAACGCTGGGCGTAAAATGTCGGATTATGAACAGAAATGGTATCCTGAAATTTAAAAATTTGTTGAACAGAAGTTCTATATAGTTTCTGCTGCCAGTTGCGAAATTCCATAATTTTGAGAGGAAAACATACACCATCATGCAGAACACTTTTCCATGTATGTTCTAGTTTTTTCAATAACCTATAATTCTGCAAAATATCGATTATACCAAGAAATAATAACAAGTCATCTCCTCGCTGATTTCTTGCTGGGAATGATATCTGTCTGCAAAAATACTTAGTAAAAATATAATCAAACTTCTTGAAAATATCCCAAAGATCAACTTCATTTATGTAACACAAATTACGACAATATAAAACTATTTAACCAAATAAAATAAAATAAAAATTAAAAAAAAAAACGAAATAATGGGAAACATACTCATACTGCTCATAATAATCTGAATCCAACAATTTCTCACTTTTCACTCGAACAGTTTTACTTTTTGTTTTCTGTAATTGTTTACAGTTGTAAGACTTGACAAATTTTTCAATTGCTGCCGCTGGAAACAAAACAGCACTGGAATCATGTAGATTAAATGTCCACATGAAATAAAAAACTACAATATATTGAATTGAACGACTACTATCAAATACGAACTTGATTTGAAGTCGATGGTTCGCTACTATCAACAGCATCAGCTACACTTTTTGCTGTATTTTTATTATGAATACCGACAAGAAGGCTATAATCCATTATTTTGAAACTTTCAAGTACCTAAAATATGAAGAGGAATCAATCTCAGAGAAATCACGTAAAAACAATATTCCACAAATCTCAGTTGCAAAAAAAAATACCAAGCAATCTCGGCTAATAGTTTTCATAATGGCATCATGCACGCCAACATCAAGCAACAATCCATCAGGATGCACAGAAATGAAATCCAAATCTTTCAATGTTGGTGAGGCCTTCGCGCGTTCGTGTTTCGATGCCAACCTTTTATAGGTGGATCCTTTTAAGTCGTACTTTTCATGCATCATAATTGTTTGAGGCAATAGATTATTCATCAGTAACAGTCGGATATTTTTGCCCAAACTCTGAAGCACAGTCAAGAAGAAATCACAACAGTTATGTGAAGTAACTGAATAAAGTTTGCGGAGTTTCATTAAGTGATAAATTACCTGGTAACAAAATAATCCAAAGAATTTTGGCAATAACGTATGCGGATTCTGATTAAAATTCTGAAATACTCCATGCTTCAAGTTTATTGAAGAAGTTTAATATCTAAAGATGCAAATAATTGATCAGGCTTAGTCAAAGCCTTTAAAAGACAAAAAATGTCTGAAAAAAACATTAGAAAGTAAGCTTACCATATAATAACCCGGAAGCAATTTTTTCAGAAACTCAGCTTCTTTAGACTGCACCGTTTTGATTATAAACTGATCATCATGAGAGACATAGAATATGGATCCAGATGCGCCTGCATTTGATAGTTCTTTCAGTGGAAACATACATACAGAACGCTGAAACAAACTGCAAGAATGAAGAAAAATCGAGAATGAGGTAAAAAAAAGGATAACTGAAGAAAGAAAAAGTGGAAGATTTTTCAAGAAGATAAACACTGTAAAACAAAGCTAAAAAATTTTGAGAAAAAATCAGTAAAATTCATAAACCATTTAACAATCTCACCAAGAAATCAGCAGTTTTGATTGTAAAAAGATCTCGGAAAGTTCGAAATGCAATCGGGGCATACGTCTGGAATCGAAAATCACCGTAACTGTGAGATGGTGTTGATTGTGATCCACTTCTAAATTATTTCTCTAAAATATCTGATACACCTTCGAAGAATGACAATGTTATAAGCAGATACGCTTCCTACATTTTGATGCATTTATATAAAGCTCAAAATTGAAAATAACCGAAACACTGCCGAGTATATTGAATGGTGTGAAAGACCGAAATGATAAAATCAGACTAATACCTTCTCTCCTCTCCTAAAGCTAATAAATTCTGTTATTTCAGCATTACTCTTTCAGAAAGAGAGTCGAAACTTATTTAAGAACATACGATGGAAAAGAAACAGTATGGACAACATCAAAATCTTGCAGTAGAAGATCTCTTTTTGGTATAGAAGCTAGTGAGCCTACTGAATTCGCGATACCCAGTTGTATTGCTCCCATTAATGCATTGGTCGGGACACGTTTGTAACTCACCTTAAAAGTGAAATGAATCGCAATAAAATCAAACTAAGTGTTTCCACTTAAAACAAAACCTAAGTTACAATTAGTCAGTTCATTTAGATTAAACTCATGGATAACGTGAATAAAATCTGTTGTTATTGAATCAAGCCAATTCCCATCAACAGCTTTAACAAGATATCGTCTATTATATGCTTCGCTACTGCTTTATCTGTTTACGATTTCAATCAGTAAATCATTAAAGAATTCAATATCAACCTCGCCTTGTCGATCTATGCGTCGATGACCAAGTTTTTGCTTTTCATGCTCTTCTTGGTTTCGTACCTCTTCTTCGACTAAAGATATATTACATTTTAACACTTTAATTCATAGAATGCTATTCCAAATAATATCCACTAAGAACCACGCCGTCTTGAATGTTCACTCACCGAAAAAAGCGTTAGCACGTAATGGCTTAGCGTTAACTTGCTTTACAGAATCTATGTTCAAAGTTATATCAGATGGAGAAACTTCGTCCTTTTTAGAACCCATACTGTCTGCTGATTAGTACTTCGCAAACTTAACCTGCAAATGATCGGTGCATGTTAATTCTATAATTCACTGAGAAAAAAATAGTACTGAAATAATGCTACTAAAACTATGGCCCTTACAAATCCTCTTCTCCTCCTTCGGTCAATCACTGAGTTAATAATCAGAAAAAATGATTTAAATTCAGCCTTTTTACGTAACAATGAAAAATAAGCCTGAATTTTGGACCTAAAAAGAATTGGAACTTTTTACCAGCAGCTATAAAACTTACTGAAAAACTTCTAATAAATAAATAGATCTTTATAGTGACTATTTTTCTCTCCATTCCATAAAGCCAAAAATTACATGAATTATTTTACTATATGAAAATTATATGAATTCACCACATACACTCGAGGATGAAGAAAGAGACATGTAGACACAAAGGCGTATCCATAATATCATTTTTGTAAACGCATTTAATTTAAAAGAAATAAATTTTCAATACCTTAGATAAAAGGACGCAACGTATTGACAGCACCTCCAAGCAGCAAACAATCTGAGCAATATTTTAAAATTTCTTATCATTCACCTGTAAAAATAAATCGCATAATTGCCTCTCGAATCATACTAATTTATGGGTGAGCTTTTATAACACTTCAGTAAATTTGAGCAAAAATACCGAAAATCTGATGTAAGTAATAGTTTTCATAAATTCTCGTTTCATAAATTTTTCAATATGAATAAATATTTTGTAGCAGCTTGAGGTTATGTCATTCAACCAACACATTGTGTTGGTCAATAAATCGAACGATAAGGTCGAAATTGAATCTTTTCTTGGTTAGCTAAAAAAAGAGAGAAGGAATGTCGACTTCTTCGGTAAGACGCAGTTTGGTTTCTCTTTTGTAACTAAACCGATGGTGTGCAACAATACAATCAATACTCACCTCGCTGCACCTGAACATCCACCGGAACACCATCCGGTGACAAAACGAATGACACAAACCAAGCGTTCAATGATTAGTTCGGATGGTATCGCAATTGCGCCACGGTGACACAAGCATCCCTAATCGTAGGACCATTAACGAAACACAAGTGATCGGGAAAAAGGCGTCATAATTACAATGAATGCATCTTCATAATATGTCGTAAGTACTTGCTATACAACGATAAACAATTCTACCGAAAAAAACCATCTCCATGTGTAAGTGTGAGGCAATCCCTCATCCTCACTCCTACATAGCATATATATATGTATACACAGACAAGTACGGACATTACATCGAAGTTCCATTTCAGGACTGAATTCTTTACATTATGGCCTCGAACAATTTCCATATACAGCAGTGATTTGTTACGAAATTGTCAACCGCTTCTCGCTATTCAGTAATTTTTTTACAAAAGCGTGTAGATTGATATTACTGGGGATTTAAAATTTATTTTACAGTAAAATGAAAATACACCTTAACATGTTCAGAAAACGCTAAGTTGGTAATAAAAGCATCGCCTTATGTCTACACTTAAGGAATGAACATGATAATTTTATCAAATTAAAAGATTTCCGACGGAAACAGAACTTTGTTCAACTTGTACAGCAACAAAATCAGCTATGAAAGAATTATTACATTGTCAATTTCTTTTGTGTGTAAAATAAAAATTAACGCAAGATTGATTTTATTTCTTAGAACTTCAGAATCACATTACAGAACAAGAAATTAATTCATTTACAACTGGTTAAGTACACGAGACTGGTTGGCAGCAATAACTCTGGATCTTTTTCTAGCAACAGTGCCCCACTCAACGCAATATTTTGGAAGTCGTCTATCCAGTGGATTTGATAAATGCTTCACTGTGCCAACATCCATGACGAGCATCGTGACACTAGTATCAATTAAATTTAAACGCACCTTTGTGTCACCATTCTTAAACCGATGTACCTACAAATTTTCCATAATTAATGGATTTAAATAAATTGTTAGTGAAATTAATCAAAATATAGGTTTTATTTTAAAAATCAATAGCATACAACAAAATCCAAGCACAAAACTAATTAAACAATAGGAGGAAAAATCGATGAGTTTGACATACAATTTATTCATGAGCAAAAATATACACGACGGAGACAAAAGCTATAAACTGTGCCCGAAAAAAAATCGATAATCTTACCGTATAATCTGGCGAACGCCATTCCATCGAATCATCGCTAGAAATATGACTAGCATAGGAACCATCCATACGATGGCATGAAGTTTGTGTTGCTCGATGCACTGTTTCTGCTTCGTCACGTCCTCTGACCCGAACTCTGCCATCCAATTCATAGCTTAAATACTGATTTTAAGAAAAAGATATACTTGAAAAAAAACCAAGAGAGAAGTCTTTTTCCATAGATTTCTGTTGTAATAGATATGAAACATCCCATACTTTCGAATAATCGCATTTCATTCGAAAGGTCTGTTTACAAAAAAAAAAATCTAAATGCATACACTTCGACGCGCACAGATCCTGATTTATCTCTTATAATCTCTATGCGACGTCCATCGGGTGTCATTAAGGTAGTTTCACCACTTCCGCGATAAATTTCCAGCTGACCAGTTAAAAAATGTCGAATAAGCAACTTCCCTTCACGTATTTCAACAGTGGTTGCACCTGCTTGTCCATAATAATTTACCTGCAAATAAAAGAGAGCCAAAATTAACACAAAAAAAGAATTCTTCCGCAGAATCTAACAACTTAAAATGAACTTTTACCCGACAAGTTGACTTTTACTGTTGACACTTGGGATATTCCCATCGCTATTGCAAATTTAAATGTGCATAAATTGCTATTATGATTACCCCCTGTATTCAGCGGGAGAGGGTGACATTCAACAAAATGGCTGCCACTATAAAATTAGGAATGCACATAACATAAAGTTACATAAAATCATTTCGAAATGACCTGATAAAGTTTGCTTGAATGTATCCAACGAGTATCTGTGTTGCTATATTCATAAAAGTGACAACCACAATGAGTTACAGTGTAAACAGTAAAATCTTTCTCACTGCGGTACAACGATGCTCTTCCAACCATATTATTTTCAGTTAGAACTAATTGCTGCAAAAAGAAAAGATATTTCCTTTGGTGCTTTATCTGAAGAATAATGAATGGTATTTGAAAGGACATATTATTCGCCTAAAAAAATAAATAGAAAATAACAAAATAGGTAGCAAACCATATCAGAATTTGCAAGATTTAGAGGAGAATGCGCAAAAGGTGGTGGAGAAAATGAAGCCATTGTTGCAAGAGGTTCGTTCCACCGAACATTCTTTCCCAAACGCGCTGGCGTTACTTCTTGTTCAGCAATTACGGTATCTTCATTATCGCTTAGTGTGTCTGTATTTTCGACAATATTTACAGTGTTTTGCATCCTACTTGTAGCATTCTGAAATCTATTGAGTTTCGATATTATTAAATAATTCTTACACTTTCAATGTGTGGCATTCAAACATTGCACTTTTTTCCAAAATACAAGTTTTGTATACTTGCTTAAAAAGTTTCAAAATCGGTGTCAACCATCATATGAAGATTGATTAAGTTTTGAGCTGTACCTCACTTCATATTCCACTAAGCACGCATTGCAAATAAAGCTTTTCGCGCTCGCTACAACATGTAAATCATTATTGAGCAGAAAAAATACAAAAAACCTTTTGTTCTTAATACCTGAATGGTATGCCTTCCGTTGCCTGTTGTATTCGTCATGAAAAACCCGTTATTCTGAGGAGTCAAATCTTTTGTAGATGTTGTAACAGTTGCATTCTTTGAAGCTCTAGCAATCGCCTGAGCAGAAAGAGCATTTTCAGCTAAACGACCTCGAAGAGCTGCTTTGCTTTTCTAAAAAAAAATTTTTGAATAAGGAAATGTTTGGAAAAAACACTTCGTTATCTCCATTACCAATCAACTTTCGTTTTTTTTTGAACGCATTGTGCAAGCAAGTCGTTGAAAGCTAATTTTTTAAGTTGAAATGAAAGTGATAGTGATTTCTAAATTACTGAAATTTATTTTCAATATTGAATATGTTCCCACATACAAAAAAGATGAGGTGTAAGAAAAAGTGAACTGCGCTGGATAACCACAGGCGACCACGCAAGTGATTAGTATTCCAACTTCCTATAGTCAAATTTATCCGAAGAAAGAGTAAAAAGATAATAGTCGTCGTTTGATTATTAAGAATCCTGACGAAACAATTCTGAGAAGTAAATCAGATACATCAATAACATCGGCAGGGCCAAATTCTGGTCAACAGAAAAAGCCCAATTCTTTTCCACAACAACATCTGATGCATTTCCTCATTTCGTTAGAGACCGGATTTTACTTCATTCACCAAGTTCATCTGATCTTCCGACAATTGATTACCAATTCTTCAGAATCTCGACAATTTTCCGTAAAAAACGCTTCCACAATCAGGACGCAGGAATTGCATTCCAAGAATTCACTACATCTCACTTTCATAATGTAATTTAAAATTTGCTGATCTAGATCGATTTAACTTTCGCATCAATTTAACACTTGAAGCTCAGTAAGAAACGTAACATCTAACTTTCAGCACTTCTAAAAAGATATTTTCAATAAAGATAAAAGCATCATAAAATTCTAAGTGATGCAACATACCGTGATGATTGTAATTCGTTTTTCCAAGCGTGCCTTTTCGCCTTTCAGCTGCTCAATGGTATCATTTTTTTCTTTTAGAACTGCATTGCTTTTTCTGATTTGCGCTCTCAATTCACTGCGTTGCCGATCAAAATCCCGCATCATTACACGAAGATCGCTTATCTGAAAAAATGTTTTATTTCATTCAGAAAATGATTTACAATAGCTTGAAAATTGTTAAATTGCCCGAATACATATTTTCAAAGTACTTTTATTCTTATAAACAGTAAATAAAAAAACTTTAATCAATTACAGATTGGCTGAACAGCCCTATCTTTCATCTAAAGCAACTCATAATTACAATGAATTGGGAATTCAAATACCAAAAAAAGATATACAAAATACAAATCGGTACTGACCTGTTCCTTAAGCAGATTTACCAGAGCGGTATCACTACCACCTTTCTGCTTTTGCTGTCGACTCAGAATAGCATTTTCTCGTTTCAAACGTTCAAAATCGGCACTGCGTATTTTCTCCTCCTCTTCTCTTATAGCAAGATTTTCTTGCTGCGCTTGCTTATCCTCTTCCAACTGCACAACACGCTTTTTCAATTCCTTCACTTGTTGACGAAAATATTCTTTTTCTTGTAATGCTTGATCGAAAACTTCTTCCAGCTGAAATTTAAATGCAGTAGATCACGGACTAATTTGGAAGACTCATATTTTGACAGACAACACACTTCATGCATAACATGAGAAATATATAATGACATCCAAATTCATGCTAGATTCTTCCAGAATCCAACTTCCATGAATTAACCATACAATACCGTAATCAAAAAATCACAGCAATTCAGAAGCACATTGTAAAATGAAAAAAAAAAACAGCAATAGAACAGACTTTTCAGATGAATTCATATCCATTCTGAAAGAATAATAAATATAAAATTACTGCTCATAGAAAAAATAAAATAATAAAAATAATAAAATAAGAAACTGTTACCTAATTTATTGAATGACAGTTTAGAAAAAAGAATAATGCGATATAAAAGATCGTAGTTGGTCAAGACTATAAATAAATATCCCTTCTTCAAATGGGTTCCATCGCTGCCTTCACAGATTTTTCTTTGTTTTAAAAAGTAAATAACACACTCTTTCATATTGGTGATGGCGATACTCCCTTGCAAGATCTACATGAGCAATGAGATCCCTTAACTGTTTTGCAAGATTTCGTTCCGTCATATTAATTTTGACATTTTGCTGCATTTTCTGTAATTAGATGAATCCAGCAATTTTGTAATTTAATTATTTCAAGATCAGTTCTGCAAGACTTTCCAACGAATAAATATTAGCAGCACGAAGAATCTTTGCTTGCATACTGTTCCGCTTAAAAGGTGCCTGAATTTTTTCTATTTGCTTATAAAATAGCAGTGCCCACCAAAACGAGTGACTTTCACATATAAGACAATACCTTTTCTCTCGGAATATGCTCTGGAGTCAGGTTTTCCAAAGATTTTTCTAATAATACAGTATTCACTCTTTCCGTGTTGTTTCCAACTTTCTTTACATGAGCGTAAATACCGCCGTCTGCTTTCTGTAAAATTTTCAACATGATTTTTAACGCCTCGTGTTTCAAAAACTAGTAATGAATAACTCAACAAAAATTATAAACCAAGAAAACCATATCAATCAAAACATAAAAAAAAAAATCAAAACATAAATCGACCTCACTAGAAGTGGACGGTAATTTTTCTTGTGCGATATGTGACTTTCGGTGTCCTGAAACAGTTTTGTTATTAAAACATAATTGAGAGGGAAGATAAAAAATAACAGCTGATAACTATATTTAATTTTCAAATTTGAAGTGCTCCCAAGCTTCACCACATATAAAAAGACAAGCTATGCGTAGAAAAAAACTTATCTTTTTGGGATCTCTTATGCCAATCCATGAAATGTGAAATTTCCTTTGAAAGCCGTTCCGATCCATTTGAGCTTGCAGCTGATGAGGATCTTCCCTTCGCGGAGACCGATTCAAGGGGAAGAAATCCCTAGTAAGAGGAAAAATCAGTTAACTAAATCACGAATCTATAGAAGCGTTGAATTAGAGATCGATCTAATTACCATTTTCTGATCGGCTTCCGATGCAAACTCTCGGATAACTTGTCGCCAGTGACGCGATCTTGTGCCATCAGTGTCCTGAGAGTTCTCGGATATTCCTGGCGAAATCACATTGTGTATTTGAGGTTCAAGATTTCCGGCAATCGAGCTTTCTACTGATGTGCTGGTAGATACTGAAATCAAGTCACTTTGATCAGATGGATATAAACGATAATTTACACACATTGGTATACAGTGCATAAGTTGGCACAATTTTACAATGGTAAGAATGAAGTACAGTTGAAAAAATTCAATATCTTTTTGCACGATACGGTCGTCATTACCAAAATTTCCCGACATTGCAGAGGCGATGTTAGCTTCGTTCGTTGAAAAACTACTCAAATCACGAATTATTAACGGTACACCGCGATTGCTCCGAACTTCTAAAACAATAAGATCGATCAATATTAATATTGCAAAATCTTAGTAGTAACTTTTTTTTAAAGTTTCTTTAATATTTATCAAGGAATTAAAATTATAAACCAGATGAAAATGCTGAATTGCTGTCACTGCAATCAGTAACATCTATGACCACTGATTCAATGCCGTCATCTTTTCTGTTACTGTTTGGACTAAGCACTACCGAACAAGCATCTTCGGGACAACCGCTGTCAGCCGTGCCAGCCGTATATGGCCGATTAAAATCCCGAGCTTCATTATCATCTGAAAATTGACAGAAAGCATGAATAAGTTCACCTATCAAAGACAATCGAGCACAGTGCACCTCCTGACAGCCAATTGTAAGCAGCGTTTCCAAACTTTTGAAATGGACCAATTTACCAACGAAAACTTCCAAAAAATCTCCAAAAAAAACACTTACTAGCAGGACTTTGAGTATTGCTTGAAATATTTGACGAAGTTGACTGCTGCTCTGTGGCGTTTATATTTATTGGGTAATGTATTTTTTCCTGTAACAAGTCCAGCCAATAGTTTAATGTAATAGGCTGCTAAAAATTTAAACCAAAATTAATTCAGGAGCACTTATAAATTTGGTAAAGAACCTACCATCAGTCGTCCCGAAATACCGCTACGCTTCTTCAAAAACGGTTTCGGTAGTAGCACCATTGAACAACAGATTAGATTATCTTGAAGTAATATTGCACTTGAAACTTTTTTAAGGAAACTTCTCTCGAGTGTTTAAAGTGACGTAAGTGACACTTAGAGTGAGAAAATTAACATTCGGTAAAATTTAAAACAATTTCAATAAGAAAACAAAGCTAGCAAACAAAATAAGGCGTTGGTGGGAATTTAGAATTTTCCGAATAAATGTGCTACAAAATAATTGAGACTGAAGAGTGGAGATGACATATAGAAAAAAAGATATAGAAGATATATATATATATACATATATATGTAGAAGATATATATATATACATATAGAAAATTAAAATCGGTATTAATCGTTCCGGAAAAGAATACGAAACGGGAAATATGTAAGGGAAGTTGACATGGAATCGGGATGAAGATCATGTAATGCGGGCTTTTTATGGGCTTATTGTAAGATAACTGTGCTAGCGATAACAAAAGTACTATTAAGAGACAATAAACGCGCCTCCGCCATCTATCAGCTTATCTTATACTGTCATCCATAGAAAATGTGGACCAGCCGCGTAGAACCACTCAGCCAAACAGGTGATATTGTAGAGGTGGATAAGATAAATAGTGAATGTGTGTCATGTGTCGGCCCTCTCTCGCGTGACTCTAAACTGATTTCTATGTCCTTCATGTAATGTTCATCTACCTCTTTTAACATTTCATTTTCATCGAATTGATAATTGCCTAGTTGAAATTGCTTATCCTCTCCAACATCTGTTGTATGTATAGGTTAGATAATTTCTGTTTTCAGCTACGATGGCAACTAACAGCGTGGAAGACAGATTGTCATCAGAAATTTCTTCAGCAACGGATCAACACGAATCGAGTTATTTTCAAAGGTCTCATTCCGTAAAGTGAAATGTTGTTTCAGATAGTTTTTAATTCTATGGCAATGGTGTGGGTATTTGAGCTCTCTGTATTCACTCCTGCAAATTGAAATTGAAAGGAAATGAAAATTTTATTTTAGTAGAGCATCATTTATTGCTTCCCTTAGCATTCATGCCCATCAGCAATATAGTGACGAAATTTCGGTTGTTTCTGTGATGTAAATGGACAACAGTTTGTAGCACTAAAAATTAAAAGTTAGGGGAGCTTGCAGTGGGAACATCCCTATATACGACAATCATATTTCAGAAAAAAGAGACGTCTACACGCTGACCAACGTGCGCGACTTACCTACCAAAAAATCTTAGCAGAACGAAAAGCTGAAAAAGAAAAACGTCAACTGGAAAGAGAAAAGAGGCAACAAGTTTTGGAAGAACATGCTTCAATTAAGCGGAGAATGAATAAGGCACTGTCGAAAAAGAGCAGACGAGGACAGCCAAACCTTAATGCCCAAATAGAAGTTTTGTTGGTGAAGATTGAAAAACGAATGGAAAAATCATAACCGTTCCCCAGCATTGTTTTGTTACCTTTCTTTGCATGTTATTCCATCCCAAAACCTATATATAAATTATATCCAAAATATTCTTAGCATATTGTTTTTCATACTTCTTTGGTCACGTGAAAAATGGAATTATTGTTCTTCAACTATTCAAATAAATATTCAAAAAACAATTCCCATAAGTCCATTGCGGTAGCGCAAATGGTTAAACCGATTTTGATTGTTTAATTGCGACCATTAGAAAGCATACTGTTTTGACAGCACATGTGTCAACAACGAACCAAGTTTTTATTCGAATACGAAAAATGAAATTTTGCGGATAATACCTCAACTGTTATTAAACAGAAACACAGTCATTGCAAATTTCAGTTTATGAATTTGGATAAACTCGAATTCGCTCAAGAACAATCCAGGAACAAAGCTGACGGCTTCGTGACAGACGGAAAGACGCGGTTACCTAAACCGAACGAATTCCACTACCGATGTAATTATCTTTACAGGGCAGCTAGTCTACTCTGCTCACGTGAGTTTTTCATATGTTTTTCAGATGTGAATTTCAAGAATTTCTGAGTATATGGAAGCATTTGTGCTTTAGAATCATCTGGCAACAGTGGGCTGGAAACGCTTAGCAAACTTTATCTTCGTGAAATGAAAGAATTGTGTTCAGTTGAAATGATACGATTAGAAAAAGATTTCGGTCGTACGATCTGTAAGCGCTGCAAGAATATTTTTATTGCTCGCCTCGATGGCACCCAGTCGATTACCGTAAGGTAATTATTAAATTTAAGTTGGCGTCAGTCTGAATTCCTCATTTTTTGGATACAAATTTATAATCGAACGAGCATTTTACAATGGAAAATCCAGACATGGTTTTATTTTTAAATATGGGAAATGTATGTTTCTAGACTCAGAAAATCAAATTGATCAGGAATGAAACGGACTATGATCTTTTCCAATAGAAAATTCTGAGAAAAACGTTTATAAATTTTTATGAAATATAACAAAAAATAAGTCGCTTTTGATGAAAAATTGTCCAACCTTTTAGACTCAATAAAAAAAAGGAAATGGTAAGGACATGTCTCAGCTGTGGGGCTAAAAAGCGTTTCTTGAGAAACAGTAAGTACCTCTCTCGAAATGAACGAGATCAACATCAGACAGAAACTGAAAAGCAACAACAGGAAGTGTCGGCTGAAGAAGTCCATCAGGCATTCTTTAGCAGAGAATAATGTGTTTGAGATTTTCTCTTTCTATAAATTATTGCAACTTTTTGCTTAGCCACAGATTCTCGGGACTTAAAAATATGGTAAAGAGGTGTCAACAATGGCTTTCCTTAGTTCATCCTCAATAGTTTCAAATCTATTTTTTAAAAATGTCAACGGTTCTCGGAACTCCTCATCAATCTAATGTCGCTTAGAATTGTGCCTTCCTCTCCATAAAATTTTGGATCTGCGAAGATTGGGAAAAAAAAATACTTGAATCAAGTTTGGGCAAACACTTGCATCACTTGAATCAGCTTTTTGCCAAATAGTTGATACGGTAACGAAGTTACGGAACTGTATACTCTTCTTGTAGTCAGGAAGCTAATTACTTATCTAGTGGAAATATTTTAAACAAAAACGACAAATTTCAACATCTTATATATCAAGATATTTTGTCATTCAGGTGATGCTTCGTCACTTATTCCTTCTAGATCTCTCCTTGCTCGCACTAGAAGTTCATCTTCTTCCTCACCATTTTTCCTATTTTCTGAAGCTAAAAAAAACTAGAGATTCTTATAATTTACAATAATGTAGCACAAAAAAGAATGAAGGATTTTTTTGGAAAGAACTTACTTGGTAGCATGGAATTTCCGCTTGCAATCGTTGAATTGTAATCTATTTGTTGGCTTTCATCACTTTGAAGTTCCTAATAAATAAGTGAAATTTCTATCAAGAATTATGCATACTGGTAACCAAGTTAAAGAAAAAAAAAGTTAAGTGATATAAAAATTGTAGGTTAAGCAAATTCGTAATTCATACTGTTGTAGACAATTATTTTGAGAACAAAAATTGGCAGAAAACGTGATATGTGAAATGGCCTAATGAGTTCTCAAAATATATTACCGTAAAGGTTTTATAGTCAGGATAATTACCGCATAGAAAAAAGGATTTGAACTTCTAGATAAAGTTCGTCACCAAACGGCTGGAAATTTCCGTATTATTAATTTTAAATGAAGCTTATGAGAATAGAGAAACCACAATTGTTACCTGAGTGGTTGGCCAGTTGTTTTCGGCGAGTTCTATTAAAGATTTGTGATTACCTAAACGGTGTATACAAACTGCACGATCTTCACCAACGCTAGCTATATACATTCCGTCTGCCGAAAATGAAAGACCTTTCACCTGAAATTTTATTCACAATTGCCAATTTTCTGAAATTTTTTATGCAGCTGTCCTTGACAAAGTAAGGAAGTTCGAAAAAAGAATGGTCAGGCCATAGTAACATTCGAAATGGTAAATATAGAAGGCCGTTTTATTTCTCCAACTGAAAAAATGTTGCAATTTGACAAGGTGGAAAAAAATTCTGGGGATGCTTTTTCTTTCCTCAAATTGAAATTTAATTTCTCTTTAGAAATTCGATTACCGAAAAAAAGCTACATTTTGTCGAAAGTGAAATGTTGAGACTAAGATAGACTACTTCAAATAGCTTCTTTGTAATTTTAGAAGTAATTTATAACCATCATAATCATTGTTTTCATGAAAAAAAGACCAGCCACTTTTTTACAGGCTTAATTCTGGTTTATAATAAAGAATTTATAATAAAAAATTCCGTAACAAGTTTGGCAATGGATCTTAAGAAACCAACCACTCCTTCATGAACTCCTTGAAAAACGTGAAGTGCACAGTCTTGTGTAGTACTCCATAGAATTACACAACCATCATTCGATGAACTTGCAAACCTATAACTGATCAGATTTTGATCTAAATGAAAACAAATGGACTATGGAAGTAAAAATTATACAAAATCCATACACTTGCGGATCTCGAGAGTTATATCTAATCGCCGTAATGCAACTTCGATGACCGCAAAAACTTTTAACCAATTGTGCCTTGTCTATGCGGCTGAAAACAGATCTTTATTGAATCCAGCAAAAATTACAAATAATAGATTTCTTTCTCGTTCGTCATAAAGCGCCAATTGGAACTTGAAGACAAGCTGAAGTGAAAAACCTGGGAAGTTCCCCGAAAAATTGGTGCAAGGATGAGTAAATTTCTCTCAAAACTTACATTATATAAAGTTTGACGATCTTATCGTCTGAGCCAGTCAACAAGCTGTCTGATGACGGAGAAAAACATGTTGCCCTCACTTTTATTGCATGTGCTGGAACATTAATTAAGATAACTTCAGAAACTGGATGAATTTTTTTGATAACCTATACAAAAAAAAATGCCAGAAATCCATATTCCAGTAGAGAACCTTCAAAGAAAAATCGAATTTCAAGTTTTGGCGCACTGAGTATTGTGACAATTCCTTCATTGTTAGCTACGGCAATCATTTTGTTGTCTGGACTCTAAAATGGAGTGAAATTTTTTATAATTCCAAGCATTTAATTAGTCAGAATTATATTAACACGGAATAAGACAAGTTATTACATATGTACGAAGCTACCATGAATGCCAAAATATTTATTGTTCAGTATTGAATACATTCCTAAATAAATATGGTAAATTGAAAAGTATCAAAAGATTGTTGTGTGGATACGATGAGTTGACCGATAATTACAAAATCGCTATTTCCTTCAAACATCTCGAAAATTTCTTGAGTGAAAAAAATTTTTACAATTTGTAGGATGTGGATAATACTTTCCAAGAATTTACTAAGTTTTCTTAGAAAAAATGAATGACTGACATGATTGTTTTAATTAATAAAAGTTGAGCATATTTATTTAACTTGGTATGAAATCGACCATAAAAAAATTGCCGTCTTTCCGCACCAATCTAACATTTTTATAGAAAAAAAGTGAAAATACTAACATATGATAACGAAGAGACCTGTCGTGCTCCTGGAAAGCTGAGGTTATCATCAGCAGTACCTTTTAAAGACAGCCGCGACAGAAATCCAGAAAAACTTACTAAAATACAGAGAATTTTATGGAGACTGTACCAAGATAAACATATTCAAAAGTAATAAGGACTTAAATGAACTTTGAAAGCAACCTTCCTAATACTTTATTTCCGATCCTTAATCCGAAATTATCAGTTGCATTTTTTTTCATCCTTCATTCTGTTTTAATGCTAATCATTAAGTAAATAAATAAGATACTGCATATTAAACGAAAAAAGGAATCACCATTACCAAGTAAGACCTTGAAATTCTGAAAGAAACATATTTCACCTGTAAGGTAACGAGTTCGGCAAGGTGATATTCTCACGTACCACTGTTCCATGAATCCCATGTTGAAAATATCGGCGCTATATGTGAAGTCAGATAATGATAAATGGAACATATGCATCAAAGAATCGATACCAACAACTGCTATTACTAAAACAAATATTAATAAAAATAATTATTCTAACAAACACAGATCTGTGAAATTAAGGAAACTGGATTGAACACGAAAATGATTTGTAAAAAAAATAAATCCAACTCTAGCTTTAAAATTTTTTGAAACAAAAATTCGTACGTGCTCCATCGGCTGTTACATCGAAATCCTGCGCTCCACTTCTCCATCCTTTGATTTCCTGTTTTTCCGTTAATAATCCTGGGTCATTTTTATCCCTAAAGTATGAGCTCTTTACTATTTTCAAGCCTCTGCAATACCATTCAAACAAGAATAACCTAGAAGCCAAGTGCAAAAAATCATATCTGTTATTCAAAGATTTACACACGTAATATTTTTATTGTTAGTTATACTGTATAATAATATTTCGACATTTTAAACTACACTATTTTTTAAAAAATATGAAAAAGGACCGGAATTTTGAAAGGCTTAAAACACTATCCCCTGTAAATGTTGAGAAAAATAAGAAAACACACTTACACGAGCCATATTTTGAGAGAATCTTGTGCGCATGTTATTAAATAGTCTTCCTGCGAATAAGGATCACGTATGTACGATACACCGATGATTGCACATCCATGAGCTACAAATTATGCTAGTTATCAGACAAGGAAAATTACTGGAACTTTGGATATAACAGATCACTTTAAACAAAGATATGTGATATGATTCTAAATAAGTTATGACATTTCATGCATAAATATTGAGAGAATAAGACGAACCTTTCGGGATCCTTTTCAAAGTCAAGAAGGATTCTTCTCTATCCGATATTTCCTCATTTAGAACTGTCATCGACTCCCGTACACGTTTAAAGCTTATGCTGCCGAACCGCTCTTTACTGTTCCGTTCTTGCACGGTCAAAAATTTGAGTTGCTTGCTCTTTTAACTTCATCGAAGCGAAGTCAGTCTTTCCATTTTCATCTACTCTTTTTAATTAGTTGCCGTCTCACTCACTCTCGATTTAAACTTATTATAGATCATCCATTTTTGATGTAAATTTAGATCTTTACATATCTGACTGTTATTCTTATACAAGAATTCCTGCTATCATGGCCACGATGTGAACTCAGTCTTAGCAGCAGTTATCTTCCGTTGTCATCTAAATATTTTTTCAATCTGCTGTCACTCATCTTTCTTACAATTAACAGCCTGCATTACATTCCAAGATCTTCCTATCTTTTCCATGCATAATATCGTTTGAGTCATTTCTGCTATTAAATTGTAACTTTATCTTTAACCCGTTAGTTTGTTATTTTCTGAATTTTTTCTTATCTTTTTATCTAAGAATTATTACTACATTCGGCACCTTTATATGCTTACTAATTTTGTTATGACCGATCTCTGAAATTATTTGTGGAATATTCTATTTATTGGTTTAAGTTCGCGAAATGTTTGGACATTAAATGCTGAACGTAGTTTCAGAAAAAGATGTCCCTCTCCCAGTTAATTTTATTTTTTGTTTTTCACAAATTTACAAATTTAATTCCAGAATGGCACCGTACAAGGAAGATGAAATGAAAATAGATAATGTAGCAAAGATTGTTAGCACTGTAAAGCCGCACTGCGTCAGCAGTGTCCATGTTAATTTACATGTCTCTAAGGTTTGTTGTTTACGAACTTCCGATATGTTGTTATCTTGTTTCCTGAGATAGATCTGTTAAGAATCAAAGTCAAACTAATTAGTTATCAGTGAAATGCCTTTCCGAATGTTAGTTTATCATATGATATTATTAGAAAGAAATGTATTTTTTTTTTACTTTTGTCATCAAAAAAAGCAAAAAATGCTTCATCATTTGAAAGTATTGTACTACCAGTATGAAAATTGTATTAGAGTCATACAAGGACAAAATGCTTAAGAGTTTGAGATTATTTAGGTTGTAGTTCATCCGCTAGTGTTGCTTTCTGTGGTTGACCATTTCAATCGCGTGAGTAAAACTCAAAATGTGAAACGTGTCGTTGGCGTTTTGTTAGGAAGCATGAAACCGAACAAGACGCTCGATATTGCTAATAGTTTTGCTGATAAGTCCTTTCCTGTTTTTTTTTTCACGTGTTTTGCTTTTTTGTTTTCATTTCATATCTTTTAATCGTCTTTCTATTGCCAGAGTTGCTTAGTTTTTAGTTCCTTTTGATGAGGATGAACGAGACAAGAAAACCTGGTTTCTTGATATGGATTATCTGGAGAGCATGTATGGTATGTTCCATAAAGTAAGCATTTTATTATCATCAATAAATTAGCAGTTCATGTGATATGCCAGTTATTCTCTACATATGAACGTTTTATGAAGTTTTCATTTTTATCTAAAATCTATGAGCTGTTTAGGTTGCTGCACGCGAAAGGATCGTTGGATGGTACCATACTGGACCCAAACTTTGCCAAGTTAGAAAATTTTTGATCCATTATGATCTTTCTATAAATTCTTGTAGCTATTGCTTTTCACCTTTCTCTCCAATTTTTGTTGGAAATTAAGATAAAAAGAAAGTGTAGCATATATTAGAGCAGATGGAGAGTAGTCAGTAGTTCAGTACATGTAACTTTGTGTTTGCAATACTTGGACATGGTTCGATTCCTTTCGTTATATCACACGCGTTTGCAGAGTGTGATGATCATAACGGGTAGCACTGGGCTCTGAAATAGGATGAGTGAGGAAACCCGCTCTGATTCTGCTTATGCCTTTTCCAGAAATTGGGTTCTTTGGTTAATATATTCTTCAGTTTATGTGTTGATATTTTCACGAATTTCTAGAACGACATTGTGATCAACGAGCAATTGAAGCGCTTTACATCTAATCCTGTTCTTGTTGTTATACAGGCCGAACCAAAAGATTTAGGGTTGCCAACAGAAGCTTATGTGGAGGTGCAAGAAGTCCATGATGTATGTATTTTTCGTGATTTGACTGAAATTACTTATAGGAGTTGTCAGATGTACCGACCTTTGAACTAATATATTTTTAACTCATTCTCCAGATTTTTTTCTTGTATTTCTTTCTATTATGTTTTTTTTCTAGGATGGTACACCACCAATCAAAACCTTCGAGCATGTTCCAAGTGAAATTGGTGCTGAAGAAGCCGAAGAAGTTGGAGTTGAACATCTTTTAAGGTGGATTTTTTCTTTCAAAGGTGTTAGTTCGCATGAAAATGGAATAGCTTTTTAGCCAAACTTCTAGTTCTTTTCAGAGATATCAAAGACCAGACAGCAGGAACTCTTTCTCAAAGAATCACTGATCAGTTGATGGGATTGAGGGGTTTGCATGGACAGTTACTTGGTTTGCAATGTTATTTACATGAAGTAGCCGAGGGTAAGCTACCAATCAATCATGCCGTTATCTATTATATACAGGTATTTTTGTCATTTTCCTGCTGTGAAGTTTAATATACTACTGGAGTGTTTTAATGTCACCTTCATTTTTGAAGATTTCATGTTAGCAGAATTGATTATTTTCTCAGTTACATTTCGAACTGTGAACATGCTGTAAGAATGTTTCAGTTGTAGGGGGAAATGATTGACCTGCCTGTTCTAACAACAAACTGAAAAAATTAGAAAAACTGAAGTGGAAATGCAAGTTGTTTTCAATTGCAGGTCTTATGATGGAAGAATATCTGATTTTTTACCTCATTAAATTAACTTTTCCAATTTGACCTCTTCAATTTTGCTATGTTGAGGAAGTGTTAAATCTTCTGCCGGATGTCACATCGCCACAATTTGTTGAAGCGCATAATGTGCAGACAAATGATCAGTTGATGTGCGTTTATATGGGATCTCTCGTACGAACTGTTATTGCCTTGCATAATCTCATTGATAATAAGGTGACACTTGAAATGTTCATTAAAAAAGATAAGAAAAAGCTTTTAAACATCATATTTTCAAATCATTCACAATATTGAATTCATCTTATGAATTTTTTCAGCTCTCTCTACAAAAGAATGAAAAAGCTAAAGAGAAAGTTGAAGGAATAGCGAAGAAAGATGAAAATAAAGAAGAAAAAAAGGAAAATAAGGAGACGAAAGACAGCAAAGAGGATGATAAAGAAAAAGAAGAGAAAGATATTAAGAAGTGACAAGTCATTTACTCTTTCTGATCATTTCCATTGCTGACTTCATTTACCAATTATTAACTTTTATTTTATGGCACTCTAAACTTTTCTGAATAAATGTGCAGAGAGGATGATCATTTGCACTGGAAGGCAGAAGCAAATGAGTGGGGGATCATATCTAATGGACTCGTGAAATGAAAAGTTTTTTCTAGGTCTAAGCAACGATTTTCACCGAATTTTATATAGTGCAACTATCATTCTCTTCAGATAAGGCATATACTGCTTACTAACACCATGATTATCATTACTGGTGTAATCGCTTCATCGTTTTAAACGAAGAGTGATAAATGTTTCAAAAATGCATAAATTTTATCTTAAATTTTATTTTTTGTAAGTTAAAGGGAGTTAACTTACGGTACTTCTTTCAACTTCAACCCCTTCATTTAAACTTACAACAGTTGCAGTCGTTTTCACATCATATGATGCCAAGTGTTATGATTGCATTAAAAAACTGGTAAAATGGGGTGTTACTTCCATTTATAAAATTTATGAGATTTTTCAGTTTAGTTGCAGAGTTCAAATATCATCTTTTTAGTGTCATAAATGTTTCGAGGCAAACAGGTTTAAAGAGTTTGACGCTTTATATACAGTTGCAATTATTCGTGGAAAAACGAGTCTGTTAATGTCGGGATTCTTGTGCTTTATCAGTTTAATTGCATCGATTTTGATAGTGCGTTCGATAATCAATATGACGAATCATATTCGTAATGTAGTGTGACATGTTAATTATCAATTGAAAATGTAAGTTGCAAAACGATGTAAGTTTATTCGGAATGTTCATTGAAATGAAACAGATAATAAACTTACGTGTGATCTAAACAATGAAAATTTTTGCATACACAGCTAATTCATTCATCCTTAATAATAGTAAAGTTACTTTTTGATACTCGATTTAGCATATATGTTTATGTGGAAGAGTAGTAAGCTTTTTCAATTTTATGAAAAGTATTAACAGTTGATTGCATCTAATAATTTTAAGACGCTAATTTTATAAAGAAATGTTTATAGCTCCATATTTTGCAATGCCTTTCTATTCCGAATATGAAATCAATTACTGAAATAAATCTCTGAAGAGGTCAAAAGAAAACGAAATTACACCGTTTAACTATATATCGTTACAAATATTCCTTGTTTTCACCCTTTCTGTTGGCTTTTAATGAATTGTGATTTTATATATTTCAATTTTTACCATCTAAATTTCCAAAAACGTAATAAGAAGAAGTGTAAGATTTATTTACATGAAATGACAGTATCATTTTATAACTAGTTATGTCATCTTTTAAATGCGCGAGGAACTGCTGCTATATTTAAATTAAGCTTGAAAAAAAAAGAGTTAAAATGATGAATTTTTATCATGCGGCAGTAATTCATTTATATTCGTGTGCGGTTGTTGGTTGAGTTTCATACTGCTTTGTTGCAATTATCGCATTGAATATTATTAAAAGTGGTCTAAAGTGTGGAAGAACTGTAAAAATTCATTTGAATTCAAATGCTTATTGATTAACTAGAAAGTAAAAAGGATTATGACAACTTCTATTATATCTAAAATTAAAATTAATCCAGTAATAATTTTCCAGAGATTCAATGCTAAGAAGTCTGTGCAAAAGTCCTATTTTAAAAAACCTGGATGCAGACAAAGTTCATCCAGAGGTAAATTATCTGCTTCTGATAATTTCTGAAAAAAATCTAACAAAAGAGTTCTGAGAAATCTAAGTGATCAATTTTATCCTCTTTCTGCTGCAAAATATTATAACAACAAAAATTGTTAATTAGAAAGATAATAACTGAAAAATTTATCAGTGAAAATTCGTTGGATTCCAGATTAAGAAAGTATGCGAGAAATTCATAATTTCTGATGACAATCTTATGAAGATCTCAAAAACCATGGATGATGAAATGAACCGAGGTTTACGGGAAGAGCCCAGTAATACGTTAATATAAATAATAATGATTAATTAATAATTTAAAATTATAAGACTGTAGTATGACTTCTATTTAGAGGTGAATTATATGATTATAGTTTTTTTGGCTTAGCCAGCAACTTATGGTACAGAACTCACTTTAAGAATCTCTTTGTGATTTATTAAATTGAAAATTATAAGTGCAAAAAACACAATTTCAAAAGAATATAATAGTTTGAATATATATTTCCAGTTTGAATATATCGCATGAGTTAATCTACTACAGGTTGCCTGAAAATGTTACCATCATTCATTCGAGCAGTTCCGAACGGTTCTGAGCGGGGCGATTTCCTAGCGCTTGATCTTGGCGGTACTAATTTTCGAGTATTGCTAATTAAGCTAAAGGGTGATTTGGCTGAAATGACTGGGAAAGTATATCGCATACCCGAAGAAATTATGAGAGGTGTTGGCACTGTGGTACATTTTACATTTCTTTTTTTAAATATACCGAAATGCTTGCAGCTGGCAAATAATCACAACTTAAAAGCTGTTTATTTAAATCAAATCGAAACAACAATATTGTAGAATTTGTTTTTGTTTTACTGTTATAATTTGCTAATTTTTTCTAGCATGCATAAAAAGCTATTTGAAATAATTGCCTGATTCTTCTAGCAATCAATCAATCAATCAATTAATGGAATGATTGGTTGATTGTTAAACTGAACTGAATAATAGTCTATAGATCAATTAAGCTTTAAATTTGCTAATTTAAGAGAATATTGAATGATTTCTTAAATTGACCTTAAGTTTTTATAATACGCAAAATAATCATCAAAATTTCTTTCAATTAGAAGCAAAATTATTGCTTGTGAATTCTGAAGAAAATTACCTTTTTCTTTTAACCTCTATGCTTCTTATCAAAATTTGTTGAGCACACTGAGAGCTCTTTTTCTTCATTTTTTAATTTTTCCATTCAGCTATAATATTTAATTAATAAGCTAATAATCAAAAATATTATCACAAAGGGTTGGTTAATTTTCTTAAAAGAAATGAAAATGTTGTGATAATAATGTTAGTCTAGTGATAACAAATGAATTGATAAATTATCTTTCTTTAAGTTATGAATTAGAGAAAATATTACATTCTCCGATATGTTAGGTTTGCATTAGGGAAGAACATATGTATACTTAATCTTTTTTCATTATCAATTAGTAATGGATTGAATTTTTAATTAAATTGAGTTAAAAATTTATAGAATTTACAAGAAATAATCATATTTTCCAAATTATAATTAATTAATTAATTAATTTGTATTGAAAACAGATGAATTTTCACTTTTTTATAAAAGAATGATATAATTAAAATTATGCATTCAATTAATAGTCTTTCAGAAAAATTGATTAGATTTCACTTTTTTTCCTCATCTGTTTTATCAAAGATTTAAAATTAATTAAAGTCAATTGCAATGTAATCAATTATAGTTACCTTTAAATCTTCAAATTAGTCGCAACTAAATTGCCATTATTTCATTACCAATAATTTTATTAATATTCTCAGTTAAAGTGAAATGACAAGAAGTTGTCTTGCATATAATATCTAATTCTAATTCTTTTGCAATGTTTAGTAAGATCGAGTGAATTTTTATTATTAGATATGAAAAAAATGTCATAGTGCATGTTTCTCATATCTATCTTTCATGATCGGATAGACTTATCATGACTTATCATAGCCGCAGGACAAAATGATTAAATGATAATCACCTTACAATTTACTACTCAAAAATCGGTTTGAGACAATCAGCAAAATATGCCTGGAATATTATTAGTCAAGAATTTGACACTATTAAGAAACATATCATTGACTATACTATTATTTTAATGAAATATAATTAATATTCATAAAAATTGTGAATGGAAATTTTTATGCTATATGAAAGTGATAATGATTAATATGTGGAAGTACGCTTATTTTTAGCGAGCGATACAAATTAATTTAACCCTCAATAGTTATACTTCTGCTAAATTATCATTTCAATTTTGCATTGATCAACAATGATTTACAGCTATTTGATCACATTGGAGAATGTTTAGCGGATTTCCTAGAAGAACATAATTTGAAACAATCTAAACAGTTACCGCTTGGTTTCACATTCTCATTCCCTGTACTACAAGAGAATCTCACCTCTGGTAAACTCATAAACTGGACGAAAGGTTTCAATGCAAAAGGAGTAGAAGGTCAAGATGTTGTACAGTTCCTTCGAGATGCAATAAATCGACGTAAAGTATGATAATGTCCAAATTTTTTCTATTTAACATTTTATTCTTTTCTTACTTACTTAACATTAATATGTATAATTATTTATTTACCAAACCTATGAATAAAAGCTTTACATTACAATCATTCTTATTCCTTATTTCTTACCTTAAATTAATTATCATTTGCATTCATTCATTTTCATCAAACCATCAATTAAAGCTAATAATTAATATATCATTCAGACTGATAGTTTCATTTTAAAATCACTTTACTGCGGTTTTTCATATCAAAAATTCAACAAAATTGTTATGAAATTTTGAAAATTTAGGATATTAGTGTAGATGTGGTAGCATTGCTTAATGATACGGTTGGCACGTTGATGGCATGTGCCTTCAAGGATAATACTTGTCAAATCGGCATTATTCTTGGTACTGGCACAAATGCATGTTACATGGAAAAGCTCTCCAATTGTCCAAAATTCAACAAATATGGCTTTGATAAGGACAATGATCCAAAAGAAGTTAGTCGTAAATAATTTAATTAATTCTTTTGCTAAATTAAATTTAAATTACAGTAATTTTAATGGTTTAACAGCTTTATATAGATGTTACTTTTTTGATTAATACTTTAAAATCTATTTTAAATGATCATAAATATGGAATGGGGAGCTTTTGGTGATAATGGCTGCATAGATTTTCTTCGTACGGAATTTGATGAAGATGTCGATCGTGCATCCATTAATCCGGGTAAACATCTGTAAGTTTTCTCTTTTGTTCATTTTTATAAGTTGGAAATTTATCTTTTACTGAAATATGACGATCATTTTGAAAGTTATGGAATATATTTGAAGCTTTGAAAAGATGATTTCTGGAATGTATATGGGAGAAATTGTGCGCCTTGTTCTCGTAAAACTTGCAAAGGCAAAAATGATCTTTGATGGTGATTATGAAGCTATTTCAAAGCAAAATTGTTTTCCGACCAAATTTGTCTCCGATATTGAAGAGTTCGACTTTTTTTTATATGATATTATTAATGGTTTATTAAACAATTCTTTAAATCATTTGAATCAAAGTTGACAAATTGAAATATCTGTTCGTTCCTTATTTGTTTGTTTACACTTTTGTTATTAAGCAATTTATATGACATAAATAAATACTAGCAAAAAATGAACTCTTTTATTGTTGTCTTTAATTTCTTATTAATATTTTAATTAATGTTAAAAACGCTCGATACAATCCTTTTTATATCCTCTTCAGACAAAAAGGTCATGGAAATTTACAAAGAATGCTTCAAATTTTGCAACAAATTGGGATTAATAAGATCAGTGATAGCGATTGTCTTCATGTTGCGTATGTTTGCGAAATAATTAGCACTCGGTACTTTCTTCTATTTTTATCAACTCATCTATCCCAATCATTAATTATCATATTTCCTTATTGAAAATGCATATAATCAATTCTAACTGAGATTATTTATTTTCGCATTAACTAATTTATTATTCCAAACATTCCTTTCTCATTTCATTTTTTGTTTCAAAGATTTTGATTTAAAATGCATTATAAATCTTTAACGAAGAATAAATTAGTAAAAAGTAAAAATTAGAAACTATTGATAATTTGATAAGTGCTAATTAATCAAATTAAATTCATTGCTTTATAAACTGAAATTTAAGTTTTTCTTCCCCAAAACAAATTAGTTATTATTAATAGACTAAATCATTTTTAGAGCTGCACATCTCACTGCAGCAGGTATATCATGCATTTTGTCTCGTATGCAAAAGAAATTTGTAACAGTAGGAATTGATGGATCCGTATATCGGTTTCATCCTAGATTCGACAAAATTCTCGACTCAAAAATCAACGATTTATTACCAAAAAATCTTGACGTATGTTCAAGTTTCTTGTTAAGTTTTAACTTTTAACATTTTAAAATCTTTTGTTTTTTAAATTTGAAAAATTTCAACTTGAATTCAGATGTGCTCTCTCGTATCTCCTGATAAAATATAGCACTTTTCTATTATTCAAAGCGATTAAGCGAAAAAGACAGCCGCTATATCGAAATTGCGTTCACCAAAATTTTCACATTATTAGACTATAAAAAATTTAATTTTGTAAAAAATTCAACTCACCAGGAAACTTTTTTCAGTACCAATTGATGCTGTCAGAAGACGGAAGTGGCCGTGGAGCAGCGCTTGTTGCTGCTGTTGCCGATCGGATTAGGAAGGAATGTAAATAAACTATGCATGATTACTGAAATAAAATACCATCAACAGCACTATCACTAAGATAATATTGATTGTGTTATTCTAAATAATACATGGCTAACTTTCGCACTTACTGATAAACTCTCATCATTTAATTCTTGTTCTAATTTTAGATAGATTAATAAGATCGTGATCTTCTTACTGAATAGATAGTAAAGTAATTTCATAAAACTGTTGAATTATTCCATATTTCACCTTATTTTAATTCATTTCTCAGTTCACAAATATCCCTTATTCAACTAACCATTTCTTCCTATTAAAATTACAAGTGAAATTTTTTCCTACTGCGATAAATTCGCATTATGTGTAGATGAGCAAATATTAATGAAAATTAATATTCAAAAAAGACAATTTAAATTAACGAGTTTTAATGGTGTATTTTTATTTGAATATAATAACGATTACTCACTGCCCTCTGTTTTCCATTCTTCTTTTATCAATTGAAATTAAATTTCGTAACTCTTCTCTTTCCCATTTATCAATAAATTTTACGGGGAAGTGTGAGTTCTGAATTCACGACAAAACCATATGAGAATATAGTGACAATAAGAAAAAAAAGATATGAGTTGATAAAACTTAAAACCCATCAGTTCAAATCACACTTCGTAAAATGGAATCGATTAATCTTTACAATAAAAATCTCTAATTATCAGTAAATATTTTCGAATGGATATGTTAAGATATCTTTTCCATTTAAAAAAAGATTTCAATACTTTGTCTAATAGATGCACCTGAAGAATACTTCTTCACGTGAACGAACAGTTGTGGTAATTTTTAAAAGAGATACAGAAAATTATTTTGACTGAGAGATTAGGAGTCATTTAAAAATCGAGAGATGATGTGGTCAGCTTACAATCATGAATTGTTGTGTAGTATTTGGATAGTATCAAAGTAATGTTGAAGAAGCCACTGATAAAATTATATCATTCACTTTCGGTATCTTTCGATAAGACGGATCAGTGAAATTAGTTTTTCCATCATTTAAAAATATGGATGTAATATTTTTCCTTCTTTCCAATGCGCGGTTTATGTGACAGGAAAGAGACATTATGGTTTATAAAATGAAGTATCAGAAATCTATGAAATACTGCAAAACAAGCAGAAGAAAAAATAAAAAGATAAAATAAACAGTAAGAGAAATGTTCAATGATAATTTTTATAACTTTAACTTCTTTATGAACTGTCTAAGAAAGTAAGTGCTTAGCAATTAATATTTTTGCTAATATTATAATTAATTACGAAATAGGGAATGAATTTTGAAAGTTGCTTTAATTATGCAAATTTTTACTTTGGCTAGAAATATGAATAAGAATCATTATATTCTCTAGCCGTTAGTTCAGTTATATAGGATTGCAAGAAGGTTTGTAGTGGTGTACTTCTTAGAAGTTTAAGATTTCACTGTTTTACTGAGAGATATTGATTTATAGCGTCAATTGGAATGTTTGCAGATAGTTTTAGACGGATAGTTTATAAAATTAATGAATAATATGGAATGAATTTCATCACAAATTATTTTCAGCAGGAAAAAATTTATGTGGCTTGCAACTATTTCACCTATTTTAATCATTTACTTGATTGAATTAGTAAGCTTTTGCTCATTTATCGCAATTTCAAATCTGTGAAATAATTAAGAATGCCAATTTATTTAAAAAAACTTTTATCAGTGATCGTTAAAACTTTTAATCTCAATTCTTTTCATCTTTAATTTTTAGCCTCAAATTTTTTCACCTTTACTTAATAATAAACTAGACATATACTGCTCGTGTAAGGAACTTTTAGCAATCCATTCTGTGCCAGAGAGACATCAAGCAATCCGATCTGAATGGTTTGCATGAAATCAAAAAATTTTACCGAATTGTAAAGCGTAAAGTTGAATCTGATGTTGTTGAAGGCCCACCAGGTGATAAAGGACCACGAGGTCCAAAAGGTCCAACAGGTCCACCAGGTCCACCAGGACCTCAAGGTGAAAAAGGACCACGCGGCCGACAAGGTCGGCGTGGTCCGCCTGGCCCACCTGGTCCAAAGAGTAAAAGCAGAAAGAGCTTTGGTAAGCTTCCTCCGATTAAACGAATTTTGAGTAATATTTCCTCCTCAAATTTTCTTCGAGAACGTTCTGGAGAAAATAATTTTCTATTAATTTCATTGAGATGTTTAACAATTAGCAAAATTTTTTGAACTTAAGCTAAAACTAATTATGACTAAAAACATTCATTTCAGAAAAACCAGTATTGATGGGAATAGCAGCGGGTGCATTCTTTGCATGTTCGGTAGCATTGATATTCTTCCTTCTATCGGCATCCCGATTGATACTGGGAGATTCGAATGATGCTGACGAAGAGTAATTTAAGTGATATCAGTGACGTCCGGTTCATATTGCCATCTACAGGAAAGAAGAATTATTTAATGCTGGACGCAATTTATTTTATTTATGACATTATTTACTATTTTGCAAAAGTTTCTTGTCATTTTTTAGAAATCATTTGAATTAAAATATTTAAGTAAAATTGTTAATTAAAAAAAAACTCTAACAATGAAAAGAACAAATGATAACTTTACAAGAAAGATCAAAATTCAATTTGTTTCTTTCAAAATTTAGGAATCTGTCATTAAGGCACTGATCAGAAAATGTTTATCATGTCGATGATCCATTTTTCTATCTCAAAACAATCAGTGAAATTTAAAAGTTTCATAATAATGAATAGGTGATTTAATTTTTTACAAATTGTTTAAACAATAATTGATTAGGTTAAAATAATATAGAAATCAATTAACGCTTAAATTAGAAAGAAAAAGAAAACAATAGAAGAAATTATTTCACTCTTTCATGAGAAGAATCAAATGGCTCTTTTAACGTATACACACACACATACATGCACATACAACATACATGAATACATATATCGTCAGAATAATGGCTGTTGATAGCTAATGTGGATTTGTTCGGATTATGATAACTGTCTTCAAAATATTCTTTCATCATTTTTCAAATGCTTCGGGAAGAATAGCTAATCGTTTTTGGAAAATTTGTATAAACTATAAAAATTGAAATAATTAATTGATTATAGCATTGTGTAGAGATTAGTGATAAATGATAGTGCTATAATTAATTCAAAGTAAAGATCATATATATCATTTAAGATTACATTTCAATCTGTTAATTTTAGCATAACTTTAAAATGTTTAATTACACCTCAGTTCTATAAAAATACAAATACAAATCTGGAAATTATCAATCAAATGAGCCCGCTTTCATTCTCCAAAGTGACTACGTTGAAATTTTTGATAGTTTTCTTTTTCAGTTCGATATATGCACTTTTTCCGTCACTCATTGCATTATCATCGATACCTGGCAACGTAGATTTACCATTATTTGGTTTTGATCTGAAACTTTGATAACAATCGTTATTATTCTCAAGCGAAGTAAATGTAGATCATAATGATCACTACATAATTGATATCTTTTTTAGATTTTCAATTAGCTACTTAATTTTAGACTTTCTATCACTCTATATTTATTATAAAGATGGAAATATCATTGAGAGATTTAGCAACAACAACAACAACAATGAGGAATGAAAAGTTTAGAAATGAAAAAATTAAACTTACACGGGGAATACAATAGAGAATGTTTTCGTTTTCTTGAAAATATAATAAACAATAATAATGAGTAAAATTAACACAAGTAGAGTAACGCCAGCGATGATGAGATATTGCTTCAATTCCTCATATTCCATCAACGATATTCCTCTAACAATCACTTCGTTTAATCCTATCGGCACATTTCATTTTCTTTGTTTCTTATTTAAGCATTTTCCGAAACTGACAGATATACATATACGTGTTCGTTGATAATGGATGTAAATTTTTTATTCAACATATTTAGCACATTAACTTTAATCACATCAAATGCAAATCGTTTGAATGTGATTCACTTCTGATTTGAATGAGTACAATAATAACTGAACTATAACATTCTCTTATCGATTATCATTTATTGCAGAAAAAAATATCCTGGTAAAAGATAATCTGCATTGCAGAGGTATTCTGACTTGAATGAGTACAATGATAGTTGAAACTGGGAAGAAATTGATCTGAGTGTATTGAAATAAGATTACTCGAGAAATATTAGTAGTACGAATTAACTAGAAAATGAAGTTAGTGCGTCATAGCACAAACGCAAAAATCTTACAACAATTATCGACAAAAAGAAGCTAATCGATGCATTTCTATAAGTCGGGAAACATTTATTTGTTTGTGTTAAATAATACTTTTTTTCGATACAGCCAAGAAAAACGAGCCCAGTTATCGATTTTAAATGTGCTTCTAGAGGAAAATTTTATTTTTCCAAAGTGGCAAAAAAATTGGAGGAAATTCTTTCATTCGTAAAATAACGGTTAAAATAGCATTGTTTATTAGAACAGTGATGGTTCAGAAGCATTTGAAATTCGCAATAATTAATTCATAAATACAATTTTAAACCGCTTTATGCTTTTACTCCTTAAAAAAATTGCTACGATGAAGAAACCAAAGCGCCGAATAAATCCCGTTATCTATTATAAACTATCATTCAGAAGATTGTTCCATTGCTCTTATATTATTTGAAGAAATGAATTTTAGGTTTGTTAGCGTTAAAATTAAATTAACTTCAAAAACAGTTATTTGGTAATGTTGTGAAAATTAGACAAATTTTATCAAATTTCATCCTGAAAAGTAAAAAGATTTGAATAAACAAAAAAACAAAAGAAAATAATAGAAAATGGTGATATGGTGATTAAGAAAAACTAATTTTTATCAGCTTTATCATTCAAAATTGAAATGAATGATATATATATATCATTTTAACTATGTATATATATATATATTTTTAACTATGTATCCTTCTCTTCTCATTCTCTTTCTCTCTCATCAATAATTTCAACTTTAGCTTTAACCACAAAATACATAGTAAATAAAAAAAAGAAGAAAAAGAAAGGAAGCTTTTGCTACTGTCAATAATTCTTCTTC